ATTATTGAAATTTGAGGAGAATTTTGAGGATTTTTAAAAGCCTGGTCCTTTAGGCATTGTATAAAACTTTTTTAAAATCAATAAAAAACCATAGGTATATGATATACAGAATGGATTCTGAAAACAGGCATAACTTTATATTGCAAATTTTACAGAAAATTCGAATTTCTGAGGGGATGCCTCTCAAACGATGATACCTAAAGAATTACTGTTTCTCGCCAGACCTAAACGCATATTTGCGTTTAGTGGTTAATTTTGAACGTAGTCGTCTTTCTTCATCGAAACTTACTGAGCCATGCTGTGAAGTGCAGCTTGAAAAGCTAATTTATTTTGAAACCGGTTCTCTGAAAAAATACTTCTGGAAAATCAAGCAATTCACTAACTCAGAAATTTGTCATATCAATCGAGAAATTTGTTCACATGACTCAACAGTTCGAAGTATTCATCTTGAAAAAATTTCAGAATACATTCAGTTTTGATTTCTTTAAATTCTTCAATAGATTTCTACTAGGTTTTCGATATTTTTGCGAAAAACAAACGATGAGGTAGATTTAGCGTGCTCAATAGTCTATGTACGAATGGTTATTAAAGTTTAATTAACAATAAATCATGATTTATTGTAAAATTAAGACTGAATCTTAATTTTTCAAGGGGATCCGATAGTCGACCGAAGATGAATGTCTTACTTGATGTTCAATTTTAGATGAACACTTTGGGCTATTGAGCCATGTGTACAAATTTCTCGATTGATATGACAAGTTTCTGAGTTAGCTAATTGCTTGATTTTCCAGAAGTCTTTTTTTAGAGAACCAGTTTCAAAAAAAACTCCTACGAAAAGATGCGTTTAGGTCTGGTGAAAAACGGTAATTCTTTAGCTATTATCGTTTAAGAGTTATTCAAAAAAATACTCTAAGACACCGTTATTTTTAAATGGATAGTAGTTTTTGAATAAAAAGTATGTATTAACTCACGCGAGATGTAACACTTCTAAATTTTCCAATACTGTACGTGTATCTGTTGCTTCTAATATAGGCTTTCCTTTACTATCCACTTTTGATTTGTTGACTCGTGGAAGTATACTTTCAATTCGATTATAATTTAAACACAAAACCTTAAATGTACATACCATAAATATAGATGACAACAACATTTGGCTCTATAAAAAAAATAAAGTCTTTACCTTTAAATTAATTAAATAGATTAAACCGGAAAAATTTGTCAATTGATTATGTTCTAAATTTATACATTTTAATGAAAGAAATGATTGTCCTAAATCAACTCCACGTATGGCACATTGAGGTAATTCTAATTGTTTCAAATCATTCAAACTTGTATGACCCATTTTTTCCACAATAAAATCAGCTGTTAATTTACCACCAAATGTTTCACGAGCTTCACCACTTTCTTGTATTTCAACAGCATAACCATCAAATGCACGTAAAGATTTTAAATGATATATAACAAATAAACGATATTTTTCAGCTTCATGACAAATTAGATTACCCCAAAGATCGAGTATTAATAAATTAGGTAAAGGCTAAATTTGTCAATTGAAAATAAATATTTAATTAATCTAATTTATATTTATTATCATTACCTTTAGATAAAATATATCTCGAATATTTTTAATTAAATTATTTCCAGCATAAAGTTCAATTAATGATGTACATCGGCCTAATTTTGCTAGACTATGAAAACGATTTTGATCCATTGATAAATAAGATAAACGTGTGAGATTACTGAGAATTTGTCCTATTTAAAAAAGAAGAATATTGGATTCTATACAAAATGTTATTGTTTTTTAATTAAAAAATGTGTAAACTAACCATCAAATTCTGTAATTTCATTTTTTGAAATATTTAATTTTCTTAAATTTGATAAATTTTCTATACCTTCTAACAGAGTTAGAAAATTATTTTCTACTGAAAGTTCTTCTAATTTGATTGATTGTTCTAAACCCTGTAATAACAAGATTATATCACTTGTTCGGTTTAATCATTACTAATTTTTTTTACCCTCAATTTCGTTAAACAATTATTGTTAAATGATGCCCATTTTAAACATATCATATTTGATAAATTTGGTAATTTAGATAAACACACATTGTCTAAACATAAGCTAGTAACCTAAAAAATAATATATATAAACTGTTCGTTAGGTCAGTTCTAGGATTTCAATTGTTTTTCGGGAGTGGGAGACTACAATTTTGGCGGCAAGCTTAAAAGAAAAAAGTCTTGTAGAAAATGATGAAACAACAATAAAATGTGTTTTATTTTAATTCATTGTCTGCGGTCAATTTGAGGTAGACTCGTTACTTCGCTGTTTCTTCCCTCTATTAAGTTGTATTCATTAATTAAGTATTAAATTACAGACAAAAACAAAATAATTATTTTTAATCTTTATATGTAATCATTTTTTCTATTTTTTGAAACGGAAAATTAGAAAAACCCATCTAGTTCTGCTGTCTCTCTTGGATCGGGCCCGCTATGTCAATTAATGATCAATACAGACAATAGAAAAATTGTATAGATACCTTAGACATCCAATAGGGATCATCTGTACTAGGTTGATGAACATTAAAAATATCTGTTGAATGAACATCATAATATTTTGCTATTGAATGACATCGTAAATCTCTCGGTCGATAAATATATGTTCGACTATGTTTAGCCACATTTTCCTTAAAACAATAAAATATACTTTTCTTTTCTTCTCATTCATACACTATTCGAATAATTTACATGTGAACAAGCAATGTCTGGTAGACATTTTCGAGCTACTTCACGTTCAGCAGCTGTTACATAAGTTCCATCTATTGACATTAATGTTGGTAATATAGCAAGTGTTCGAGAACGTAAATGATCAGTCTTAATATAAATATATCATTTAAAATCTTTACTATAAAGATATGAGTGTAAAAGATATATTATACATACTTTTTCAAATGGATTTCCCCTAAGATCAAGATGTTGAACGCTAGGAAAATATCGTTTTAAAATTTGGATTTCTTCAACAGATTTTGTTAAATGATTATAACTAGCTATCAATGTTGTCATTTGTGTTAGACCCTAAAGTAAACATCAAATATTTTTTTTATTTTCTTTATATTTTTAAAAATTCAACTATTTTCTTTTCATACCTTAATTCCATCAAACGTTGTCACTTTATTATAGCTTACATCAATTGATTCTAATGCATAAAAATAATTTAATTCGTCTATTTTTGACAATTCATTAAATGAAATATTTAATGTTCGTAAATTTTTTAAATTATGTAATTGTTTAATCGATGTTAAATGACAACCATGTAAATTTAATTCTGTTATATTTATAATATTTGATTGATTTGTCAATTTTAATAGAAAATCTTCTGTTAATTGTTCATTTCCATTACTAAACAACAATTATTATTTTATAATTAATTTCAAATTTCTTTTTAAATATAATATATTACATTTTTGGTAAAAATTCATCATCATGTGGTAAAACAGATATATCTTTGCTTATCTCATCATTATAAATTGGATCATCATACGTTAGAATATTATTGATCGTATCCGGTTTTATTCGACTCAATTGATCGATGAGAGTACTAGTTGAAATCTTAAATAAAATAATATTTAAATTTAAAAAATATGATGTCAATCTACAATAAACAAAAACTTACAGAAAATAAATATTCAAATTCGATAACATATTCAGCATAGGCATGAGAATTATCGAATAGAAACCATTGTTTTTGTTGAGCAGAACAATCACAATAACCTTTGAAAAGAAAAAAAAAAATTGATTTATAATTAATAATTAAATTCTATACAATAGTGTTAACGAATTTACCTGACATACGAACCTGATTTGATTAAAGTTTTATCTGGAAATGTCACTGTACGACAGACACTTGAACAATTTGGAAAATTTTTTTGTGTAATACTTAAAACAAAAATAAGGAACAAAAAAAAAAATAGATATTTTTCATTTTTGAAAAAGAAAAAGTTTAAAATATAAATATGTATACCTTGAATCTGGTTTATAATCGGGAAATGGTAGTCTAAATATAAAAGAAAGAAGAACGTATTGAAAAAATTATCTCAGACAAATAACTATACTCTTTTGTTGGTGCCATAGTGCATGAACCAGTATAAACTTTGGCTAAAATAACGCTACCTAAGTAGAAATAGAATCAATTTTAAAACTTAATTTAAATAAAAAAATTGATTTAAATAGTACCAAAACGATATTCATCTCGATTATGTGCTCCAATATTTTCAATGCGAAAATAATCGCTAACAGCCAATGAATTCGAAAATGTTAATGCTTCTTCTTGACCAGCATTCTTCAATAACAAAAAAATAAATAAATAAAATAAATAACAAGAAATTCTTTCTTTTAGTTTTTCTTGTCATAAGAATAAAATTATTATTATTACCTTGTACATCTCAGCATTCGGAAATCCATGTTCATATATTGATTCAATACTTCGTAAATGTTGTTTGTGACATTTTTCTTTTAATTGTGGATGCCAACAATAAAATAAATATTCAAGTTTTGATTGAATCGATCTTGCTCTATTATATAGATAAAATAAAATATATTATTTAACAGTCTAGTTATGAAAGAAAAAGAAAATTTTCACAAACTTTGCTGAATCATCTTCTTCTGAGAGTAACCAATCGAGAGCACTATCAAATTGAAGTTTTTTTGGTCGATTAAATAATCTTGTTATTCGATGAACTTTTATTCCATTTATACTATAACGTCCATAAATGGCTGAACAAAATCTTGATAATAATAAATCTTTACAAGCATTATACCTATAAAGAAACAGAACTTAGAATTTATAAACATAGATTCGATGAATAAATTAAAAACAACAACAACAAAAAAAAAAAACTCTTACCAAATATCATTAACAATGTTACCTTCTTCAAATCGAATATTTCCACCACTAATTAATTCTAATTGTATACGAAAAGCTAATTGTTCTTTTTGATAATTTAATATATTTACTGCTGTTTCATTTTGCATTGATAAACTTCAGACATACAATTAAAAATATAAATAATTTATATTTTCGATAATAATAATGGTAAAAAAAGAAAAAAGATTAATCATCAAAAATACTTACTGATTCAATACATTATGCCAAAATACTAATCGTTGTTGAATAGTTGCAATCTTTTTATCATATGCATCATTTAATACATGTTGATCATTCTGCTACAATCAATAAAAATTGATAAAATATATACATATTTACAACTATATTTTTCTCTAAATCATTTGAATTCATACTTACATTTCCCGAATCTGGTTGACATAAAAGAAAACTTAATTCTTGTCTTAATGCTTGTACATATTTTGTTAATATTCGAATACGTTCTTCGGGTATATGTTCATTCTTTTTTCTTAACTGTTTTAAACGATGATAAAATTCATTATATTCACGTTCAAGTGTTTTGGATTTCATATGATACCACATCTTCTTCTTTGTAACAGTAGCCTATAAATCAAAAAAAGAAAAAAAAAAAAAGATATAATTATTAAATTGTATTGATTTTATAGCATATACTTCAGCTTGTTCAGCCACTTGTCTTGATGAAATATGTAAACTATCAAGATATTCCAACATCGGTAAATGATAGAGCATATGAACATGATAATTAGCCATTGATGATACGGGATTTGAACCATAAGATGGATCACGAAATGAAACATTACGAAGTTTTGGTAACAATGTCAAAGCTGTTATATCCTAAAAATTAGTCATAGTTTCTATAAATGAGTGTTTATGATATTAAAATGTATGTATTACTTGAAATGATGTTATTTTATTATCGGCTAAATTTAATACTTCAAGATCAATGTTCTCAATCAGTGATGTTCCTTAAAAAAAGAAATAAATTTTAGAGTCGTCTATTTTCATAAAATTGACTAATCAAATCTTTACCAATATATTTGATTTGATTTGAAGCAAGATTTAGTTCTCTGAGACATTTAGCTTTTGACAAACCCTAAATCATAAAATATAATGAGTGTTGTGTGTGTACGATCAATAAAAAATGTCAAAGAATGAATACTCGAAATGTATACAAGCCAGTTAATCATAGTCGAACTGGCACACATTCCATAAGCATATCACCGATAAAAAAAAATTAAAGTTTGTTTAGAGTTAAAGGAGAGTGCTTTTTCGTATTCAGCACACTTGATAACCTGGAAAATTTTCCACTTTTAGCGAGAGATACCGCCAAAAAGTTAAGAAAAATTTTCAAACAAATTGACGCAGAAAACTCTCCATGGTAAAATTATACAATTTTGAAAATTTTTCTTAACTTTTTGGCGGTACCCCTCGCTAAAAACAGAAAATTTTCCAGGTTATCAAGTGTGCTGAATAAGAAAAAGCACTTTTCTTTAACTCTAAATGAACTTTAATTTTTTGTCGGTGATATGTCTACTTTTTTATACAATAAATTTATTCAATACAAAAATAAGTTGATAACTAACCTCGATTACACTTATAGAATTTTCATTTAACCACAAATATTCTAACCGCGTTAAATTCTCTAAATTTTCTATTTTTTTTATTGAATTTGCATACAAATATAGTCGTTCTAAGGATGTACAACGATGCAAACCTTGAATTTGCTAAAGATAAAAAAGAAAAATCAACACATGTATAAAATTATAACACATATTTTTTTTTTCATTCTGAAACGTTATTTTTATTTATCACAGTTCTTTTGTGTATATTACTGATATATTTTCTCTTTTAAGAACGAAAAACAGATACCACGATGTTTCTCTATTTTTTTCCCATTTTCTGCTCTATTTTTCTTTTTCAATCCATTGATTTAACAAATACGTTTTAAATGTACTTTGTAATAATAATGAGCCAGGAAACAGAAAAACGAAAACACTAGTCTTTATCTTGAGATTTTCATTTAGAACAAAATCATCAATTATATACGCAAAAAGAACGTGCAAATACAACACACAGGTTCGTTAGTTTACTTTTAATTTGCATTCTGTAATCCATAATTCTCTTAAATGAATACACGTTTCTAAATATTCAATATTTTCAACGATTTGATTAACAATAACAAGTTTAGATAAATTTGGAAACCATTTGAGACTAATCATACGCGGATAGCCAGAGAAAAATATTTCTAAGGCATCTACATATTGCTCAGCATTCGCTCGAACAGTTTCAATATTTAATCCGTTGGCATCACACTAGAATTTAAAGACAATATGTGCACGGGTAGATCAATATAGTACGCGTTATTTCAAGTTTTAGACCATATTCTATTAACTCTTATTTTCTTTGAATTAAAAGTAGACTCAAGAAAGCAGAACATTTTAAAACACATTGAAAAATTCCCATAACTCTCTGACAGCTATGCACGATTGATGTACACGTAGACTGTTCTATCTTTTTTGAAATTAATAATATGTTATGTTGTCTTTTTCTGTTTTCTGGTGTGAAAGTGAAATTTGAAATGTTAACAAAGTCTTTTTTTCTGCATGATGTTTGACTAATATGTTAATTGTAAAAGTTTTGTGAAGAATGTGTGAGGATGTTAAGAAAACCTAGTCAGCTGTTTCGTATGATAATCCCGCTTTGGATAGAAGTCATGATTTTTGAAAATTCCTTAAGAATTGGTGCAGATGTTTGCAATGTCGAGAAGCTATTTATCGTTTTGTTTTGCATGAAAAAGAATTATAAATGAATCATATTCTTTTCAAAACAATTAGAAAATGTTTTTGAGTAAGTAATCAGTAAAGTGTTAGAGGAAGTTACAATGACACCAGTGCTAGTGACGGCACGACCTGACAGCACATACATCATTAAAATTTATGAACGTGTCAATAATAGCGGGAGACACATGAAACGCTTATGGCTCTCTGTAAAGATTCGGCGGAATTTGGTAATAAGACTTTTTCATAGAATTCCGATTAGAGAAATAAGGACTATAAATGTTTTTATTTTCGTTGATTACTGAACCAGTAACTACGATTTGGTAGGAGAAAAGGGCTATTTACCTCATATAAGCATTTTAAAAGAAAGTGAAAAATGTCAACAGATTTGGTGGTTCTTCGTAAATATAGAAGTACTGGCGAGTACATACATCTAGAGATAGTATTACAAAAATAAAGCAAATGTGATTTAGATGATATACCTGAGAAGAACCCAAAATTGAATAAATTTGCTGAAGTCCCCTAGAACTACTTATCTAAGTACTCTTGCAAGTTCTACCCCATGTTTCTGAGATTTTTCTCAGAAAGTGTAAAAAACTTTACTGTCTTGTCAAGTACTTGGTCCTCAAGTAACCCACAAACACCTTTGAGCGGTCCAGCAAGTAAACTAAGTATTTGAATTACAAAAATTTACAAATAAACGAGTACTCGCACGCAAGTACATGGACCAGCATAATAACAATAAGAAAACGCTGAATAGATTTAATAATCATATCGATTTTTTTTTAGTTCATAATAAACTGAAGTTATCTAATATGACCTGCGGTCTTGAATGTCAACTAGACATTGGATAGAATTGGAACGGCGAATCGCTTGATGTAGTGCAAAGCATACAATGGTATTTAAAAACGATGAAACTTCACATATATGCATTCTCTAGCACTATCTTCTGAGAGATCCATAAATAATGAGCGCAATGTCTATGCACTTACCAACTCCTTCAAAATAATATCTTCCTCATTATTCTTCATTACTATAGATATTTTTATTCTTGAAAATCGTTATAGGGATGGTTTTCCGTTACTTTTCTTTAATATCTTTCTTTCCTGTCCTACGGCATAACAAATAAACATTTTTTTCTTTCGCTTAGCAATTTGTGTATATCGTATCTGGCTATCTGCAAAATATCTAATTTACTAATGCATTTCGATCATATAGATGAAAAAGTTCATTTTAACAGAGTATTTTCCTCACGTTGGGTCTCTGACGCTTAAAACTGCGCTTAACTAGATGATACGCTATTTTTTTCAAGTGCTATTCTATTGGCTATAAGACGTTTGATCGGTGTGGCATTCACATTTGATGCAGTACGTTTTGCTTAATGCTAAACAAAATGAATCCAACCTGCAAAAGCATATATTTTTCTCTATTGTAATGAGCACTTTTCCACGCAACCATACCACTTCCTCCGAAAAGTATATAAATACTCAGAGAAAGTGTGGGTTTTTGTAGATCTTACATTAGTATGGGACCAAATGGAAACGGACATATTTTATCGTACGGATGACGGCAAATTCTTAGAATTCAAATGCTATAGTTAAAGAAGTACTATTGTTGGTAGAGAAATCGACAGATAATTAACTTTGAAACTTTCCACTGTTAAGTCGTACATATTCGGAGATTATATCGCAATAAGTATGACCACTGATGCGTAAAGTTTCAATCGATATTATCATGTCACAACAGTCATATTATCAAGAGTGTATTGATAAATCGGCTGTACAAACCCTTGAACCGTTCAGGTCTAGACAAGTGTGAGCATGGTGGTTCGTTCACGAAGATTGTGTGTAAGTGTCCAATTTTTTATAACAATATCATACATGTGTTACAAAACCTCTGTGTAAGGGATATTTGTTCTTGATATGCATCATTAGAGTTGTTATATTTAATGAACTCCTCTGCCCGAAAGGAAGTTAAGAAAACTTTTTCGTCCTGTCGTTTACCGCTAACCATTTCTCAGAGTAAGTAGCAAGAAATTCTAAGATAAAAACATTTCTAGGATCCGATTTCATAATTAAAACAAATACACTAAATGCATACAAAAAATAGAAATAATTCAAAACTGAGTAACAAGATATCAAGAATAACTAAACAAATAAAAGCAGAGATGTATGTGTTTAGGATTTTTATTCTATGCAGTATAACCATCTTATCAAATTGCTTTAACTGATTTTGGGTTTTAAAACGAGAGTAAGTCAGCGCTGATGGTAATCCTCTGTAAGCTGAAAATGCTGGGAGATTCTGATATTTAGGTTTAATGGTTTAACTTGCTTCAGTTTTCTCTGCAATCTATACTATGATGTGTAATTTACACTTTGAAAGTATTCAAATGACTATTTAATACCAAACGGAATAATTGTAAAAGTATTTGTAGATGAAGAGAGAAAGTAGATTTATTTCGTATAAAGGAATTTCTGTACATTTTCAAAATTACATATATATTTTTTTTAAACAGTCATGATAAACAATGATTATCTGTCAAATAATCTTGTGGATGAACAACAACACTCACTTCGTTCTAATGGAATTCTTCTTGTTGAAAGACCAATTATTACGCAAAAATCATTCAATGAAGTTTTTATACCAACAACGTATGACGATCAAACTCCCGTCATTTTATTCAAACGATTCAAACATAGTTTAAGAGAGAATTGTGTACCATCCGTAAGATGTGGGAAATCATATATCAATACATTATTTCCATTTCTATCATGGATTCGGAGATATGAACGTGGTTGGTTACCAGCGGACATCCTTTGTGGGTTGACTATCGCTATTATGCAAATACCACAAGGAATGGCTTATGCCTTGCTCGCCAACTTACCTGCAGTTTTAGGTATGTATATTGGATATAGTTCTTAAAACATATAACTATAATAATTTGTTGTTTTAAAGGCTTATACGTTTCATTTTTTCCGTGTCTGATCTATGTTTTTTTTGGCACATCCAGACATTTATCATTAGGTAACTTTGCTTAATTTTCAATTAGTTTATTTAATGTTGTTGTTCTCGTTTTCTTTTAGGAGCAATTGCCGTTGTTAGTTTAATGACAGGGAATGTAATAGATCGTTTATCAAGTGTGCATCATCCTATAGTAGCAAATGAGATTTACAAAAATAATACATTGCCAATTCTCATTACCAACGACCCATCGTACGCAATAACAATCGGAACAACTCTTGCGTTGGCTGTTGGTATTATACAGGTACTGTGTGAATTTATTGAAAAATCTGTTTTTAATTACCAGTCATTTTTTGTCGTTCTTTTAGCTAATTCTCAGTATTTGTCGGCTGGGTTTTGTTACGGCATTTTTATCGGATGCTTTTATTAGTGGTTATACTACTGGAACGGCCGTTCTGGTGTTCACAAGTCAGATTAGTGATATTTTTGGACTAACTATTAAACGTTATGTGGGACCACTGAATATTCTCTATGTGAGTTATAACACTAATCATTGTTATTTTTAAAATAAAGTTAAACATATTTTTTGTTATTTAGACTTATATCGATATATTTAAGAATCTCAAAAATGCAAATCCGACAACAGTTATTATCTCTCTATGTTCAATTACTTTATTGGTTCTTGTTAAGGAGTTTATCGAACCATTCTATAAAAGACAATTGGAAAAAATAAGAATGTTTAGACATCTACAGATTCCTATACCAATTGAGTTGATTGTGGTTTGTATTATTTTATCGTTGGAGGCACTCTATCCTTGTTAAAACTTTTATTTTATTCTTAGATTATATGTGGCACTGTTGTTTCACATATCGCTGAATTAAATTCAAAATATCATGTAAAGATTGTGCAAAAAGTTGATAGTGGGTACGTTGGAAAATGTACTCATTTGTAGCATTGTTACTTTTAAACTTTTCTTTTTGCAGATTTCCTAGTCCTCGTGCTCCGTCTATTATGTTACTACCAGAAGTAATTAAAGACGCCGTTGTTATTTCAATTGTTTCATTTGCGATATGCATCAGCTTAGCAACAACTTATGCAAAACGATTTAAATATGTTGTAGACGGAAATCAAGAACTATTAGCGTACGGCTTATGTAGTGTAAGTGTCTCAAGTTAATTCATTATCTTGATTCTGTATGTCTCGATCTAAATGAACAAAGTAACAATTGCCATCTTATTTCAAGCAACTTTTTATTTCTATTTAGGTTGTTAGTTCGTTCTTCTCTTGTTTTCCTTCGTCAGCGTCATTATCTCGAACAAGCGTTTACGTCAAAGCTGGTGGAAAAACTCAAGTCAGTCTTTCTAACAACGAAAAAATTGAAAACTCTTTTGAATTTTGAATTTTCAGCTAGCAAGTTTAATAGCATGTTTCTTTCTATTAATGATTATTTTGAAAATTGGTCCATTATTTCAACCATTACCGAAGGTACTAACTAAGCAGTTGAATAAGAACAGCACTAGTATAGGTATATATTTATGTTTATCATTAAGGCCTGTTTAGCTTCGATCATTGTTGTTGCGCTGAAAAACTTATTTTTACAAGCAAAAGACATATGGAAAATTGGACGAATAACGAAATTAGAATCAGTATGTTTTTTAAAATGCATCATCTCATTTTTATTTATTTATTTTTATTTTTCTTATAGATTGTTTGGATTTTAACATTTCTCAGCACAGTTATTCTCGATATCGACTTGGGTCTGATAATTGGTGTCGCCGTTTCACTTGTTATTGTAATATTACGACAGTTTAGGTATATATCTATTGTTTTGGTCGTATGCCAATATTTATTACACATCGACACATTGTTTTGTTTAGACCGCGTACAACAATACTTGGGCAATTCAATCGTAGTGAAGTGTATAAAAATGCGAAACGTTATTCTAATGTAAGAAGAGTTTTTCTGATTAAAATTATAAACGTCACTATTGTCCTTCACTTGTTCTAACTTGTTCTAGGTGCATGAATTATCCAATATAAAAATTTTTCGGTTTGAATCTTGCATTACTTATTTTAATGCCGATTATTTTCGTTCACGTTTATTACATACGGCTGGAATAGATTTGACCAGCAATTGTCGAAATGACGTAAATCGGATAAAATCGATGTTGTTTCTTATGAACTGTTTTGTTCTTTTTTCAGTATAAAAATACGGATACATTAATTAACAAAACTTATCGCTTAACAAATGTCATTGTTGATTGTTCGTCGATGAATCAAATCGATTACACTGGTGCAAAAATATTTATCCAAACTATTAAAGATCTGAATGATGCAGAATTTAAAGTGTATTTGTGCAATATGAGATGTGTGTTCATTAAATCATAAATAAGTGTATAATCAAATCACATTTATTCTGTTTAGATTACATTTATGAGTTACTTGAACGATTGAAAATGACTGAAACATGCAGTGTCTTTGTTACGGCCACGATTCATGACGCTGTTTATAACATTAAAGAGAAAATGTCAGAGAATAATACGCAGGTAAGAATGCTCAACATCACATAAAGTTACAATAAATAATTTCCTTAGGACAAATTACCATGAGAATAACAAAATATTTTGAAGTCGTGAGTAGAGGTCTGCGGGATCTCGGTGAAAATAGTCTTGTATAGAACATAAAAATTTCTTAGTTTTTTATGCTTGTTTGTATGTAGGCACTAGTTCTGCGAGAAAGACCTCAAAAAATTCTAAAAGTCTTAAACTAATACCACCCACGCATGCTGTCCCACGTGCCATATTACAACGCGCTGACTTTCAAACTATTACCGCTACTTTGAAAAAATATTTACCGGACCACGGGACTGGGACCAAAAACATTTGATCCCGCAGACCTCTAGTCGTGAGAAAGGAATTGATAAGTGTTTTTCATATGTTTTGAACATGATTAAATAAAAATTTCGTTCTTATATCAATAAAAACAACATTACTTATACCATTAGAATGAATTCTTACTAAAAGAGGTACTCTTATCACCTGTGCTATCATCCTCTTCAATAAATGAACGCTAGCTCTGATGAATTATATATTCTTTAGTATTTGGAATCAGAATTCATAGAAACAGACGAAGTAGAACTATGATTTACTCTTAATGGTGATCACATTGAATTATCATTTATCTTGTGTGTCATTATCATTCATTTAACGTTTTTTTACTAACTTAATGTGATGCTTTTTCAACTCATTACATTGTATTATATTTATCTTCAGCCATTTGCTTAGTCTCATTCGCTTAACCTCTTGCTTAGTCTTTGAACTGTTTATTCTCGCTTTGGTAGATATTTTTTTGAAGATGTATCACTACTTTTCTTACTCATTCATTTCAAACAATACAAGTCTAAATAAATTCTAGGTGAATATTATCTGTGATCGTTATTCGTTCGCTGATGGAATAAGTGGAACATCGACAATTTCTTCGGCGTGTATGGTAAGAGTAATTTCTGTTGTGCTTCCAACGAAAGTGGATAAAGAAAAACTATCCGTTTTCGAAATGATGTAAACAGTTTATGTTTGTTCTCTAATGGCTGTCAAAATTTAGCGACATTGAATTGAATTAAATACTTTTAAATAGTGATATGATAATTGAGAATGACGGATTTGCTTCACTATTCACGTTTTTTTATTAGTAGCGATTGAATAGTTTAAATAATATATTTTTTTATCTTTATTTCAGAATAATCTTTCAATTAGTCGATTTTAAATTTATTATATTCTTATTAAATACTTCGATGAACTTTATATTTCGCTCAATACAGTTTTATTTATTTCTTGATAATGTTTGTGATTTATTCCTAAAAGTATTTCATACTTTTCTCATCTTTTTCTCGTGTATCATTACTATTTTTGTAAATACTCTTTCACTTTTTCGTAATTTGTTTCAGATTCTCGAAAAGATCTTACTTATGTTATATTCATTGTTGAAATTCAGCGTTGAAATAATTTTTGACTTGTCTCCTCTGAAAGTATTGATAAAAACTCATTTCTCGGAAATATGAATGTACTGAACGCTATATCGTACGTTATGATCAGGTTTTTCTCGAATCAGTAATATTCAAACAAAAAAATCTCTTTTTTTCATTTATTTCTTCAACTGTATTTTTAATTGGTGTAATGTATCATCTACTAAGTAAAACCATGTTATGTTTCATAGTATTTCTTGACTGATTGATTATTATTATACTGTATTTTTATGAAGAATAGAAATTTAAATTATACAAGCAGATTCTTTAGTCTTGTTCGTTAAAACGAAAGATATTTTGTGTTCAATAATTTTAAATTAAAATGTGTTGGTTTTAACAAACAATTCCTGTTGTGCTTAGCGTTATACTATCAACGTACCACATAACCTTGTTTTTGCCGAGATAGCAAAGATTTATTTAATTTGAAGGAGACATTTGAAAGAATTCATCCCGTTATTGGTTACAAAACTTATTGACTAAATCAAATGATAGAAGAAAATTTTTAATTTGTTTTGTATCACTTTAGATATCCAAATCTTTCATTCTATCTGCACTTTTATCTTCTATTGAGACAAAATCTTAAAGAATACAAACGTCATATTATGTCTGGCTAAAATAGATGTTGTTTAATTTATAATCAAATTTCAATTTTTTAGATCATGTTGTTGAAGGATATCATCTTCTGCGTACTTTTTTTGACTGTTTCCATTTTAAATTATGTGTATACAGAAGAACAAAGTGGAATCGTTAATACCGATGTTGAACGTTCAGTTGATCTTGTTTCCCATTTACCAAAACACACAACAACAATAACAATTGAAAATCGAGGCTCAAAATCAATACGAACATATGAATATTATGTTGAACCTCAATATGCAAATGATGTTGCCTATGTCGGTGCTTCGGTATGTTAGAAATATTTTTTTCATTGTTTCTTTCATTAATTATTCTAATTTTATAGATCAAAAGGCGAGATGATGACGAGAGATCACCCTTAGGTGTTAAAACTGAAACATCAACAGATAAAAGCAAGTACGTATAGTAAACAAAAATTTTTTGTATTCTTATTGCTGTTTTTTTTACTTACAGAGGTAACTTATATCTAATTGATCTCGGAAATGATGTTCAATCCGGTAAAACATTTACGTTTGAAGTGGAAGTTGTTTATGTTCATGCCTTAAAACCATATCCAACTGAAATAACACAAGGTGAACGTCAATTAATTCTGTATAAAATGAATGTTTATTATTATACAAAATATTCAACAACTACACAAAAAACTATCATCACATTACCAACTGATCGTGCTGAATCCTATGCACAATTACCTAAACCTGTGAATAAAAATGATCAAACAATTACCTATGGTTCATATGAAAATACACCAACATATTCAAAACAAGAAATCATATTGCATTATGAAAATAATAATCCATTTTTAACGATAAGTAATTTAAATCGTTGGATTGAAATATCACATTGGGGAAATATTGCTGTTGAAGAAACAATTGACATGTATCACAGTGGTGCAAAATTGAAAGGATCATTTTCAAGATTAGATTTTCAACGTCGACAAGATAGTTATTCGGCAGTTAAAACATTTAAAGTAAGAGTTTAAATAATTATTTTCTATTGATTCATTTAATGAATGTTTAAATTTTCAAGAGAATAAATAATAAACTTTTAAAATGATAATTATTTTCTATTGTATTTTTTTTCAGACATCATTACCAGCTGCTGCACGTGATGTATATTATCGCGACGAAATTGGTAACATTTCAACGAGTCATGTACGTGAAATGTCTGATCAAGTTGAAGTTGAAATTCGTCCACGTTTTCCGCTATATGGTGGTTGGAAAACTCATTACATCCTTGGTTACAATGTTCCATCGTATCAATATTTATTTAATAAAGGAAATAATTATGTATTAAAAATGCGTTTAATCGATCATGTTTACGATGATCAACTACTTGAACAAGTTCATATTAAAATTGTTTTACCTGAAGGTGCTAGTAATATTGAATTTTATCCACCACCGTACGATGTTCAACGTTTAGCACATGAAAAACATTTTACCTATTTGGATACAGTTGGTCGTCCAGTTGTTGTTGTACGAAAGAGAAATGTTGTGTTTAATCATATTCAAGATTTTGAGTTACATTATACATTTGAAAAATATTTATTATTACGTGAACCATTGTTAATTGTTGGTGTATTGTTTTGTCTCTTTTCTGCTGTGACGGTATTAGTTCGATTAAATTTTTCTATAACAGAAAATGAAGGTAATGAATCACGTTTAAGATTACAAGCAATTTGGGATCAAGTAATTGATTCAAATTCAAATCGTTTACAATTATATCAAAAATTTGATGATGCTTTGAATATGTTTAAAACAAATAAAGATATACGAGTATATAATGATACACGAAAAAAAATTGAAAACGAATTAAAATTAGTTAATCAAGAATTAAACGCATTTGCACTAAAAGCGAAAAGTGATAGCATAGATGGATCAGAAAAGGTATGTGTTGAATTTATGTTTGCAAGCAACAACTCTTTTATCCTTCATTTCTCTATTTTTCGTCTCTTGAAGAGCAGATGCTTAACATCCACTTTCAACTTGATAATTTAGCAGCAGCTACAGATAAAGAGACCATTGTATTCTAGAACAATCTAGAGAGAAACTAGAATGTTTAGGGATGTACTGAATTATTTTGACAATACAAAATATTGACGTTAAAAATTTATTATTACTTTTTCGAGGCGAAAATTTTCGATTTTAGGTTTATAACCGATTATTATATACTTTCGAGTGTACCCTTTTAGACAGACACAGTTTCTGCTTTGTCTGTTGTATAAAAATATTCTTTAGAGATTTTCTGGTTCTGTTTTGCATTTTTTCTCAAAACTACCTTTTCGAACGATGAACATGCCCGCATCACGATTTTGACTAGAAGAAGTTGATCGAAAAGACTAAAAACTTTAATTTCTACAGATGCAAGTCCTCTAAACCGATGACAAGCTTTTTGTTTTTCAAAGATATTATTTTCTTAGATGAAAGAATACTTTTTTGGGATGTAGTCGATGGAAGACAGTGCTATTTTTTAATACTATTTCGTATTTTCGATATTTTGACTAAAGTAAGATGAAATTTTGAAAACCAAAAAAACTTGTCCTACGTTTACATGACTTGTATCTGTGGTAAAGTTTTCGCCTTATCGATCAATTCCTTGTGGGTTGAAACCGTGGCACATGAGCTCGTCTGTTCTGTCTGTTGCGATTTCCACCAAAAGAAAAGTATGGGTTCTTGTGGAGACGCTTCAAGGATAACTTTCTCATAATTCATCGAGATTTATTCATGCTGAAAAAATGTAGCTTCATGACAAGACATTCTTTAGATTTGCTGGAAAGTGAAGAGGTGCCCTTAAATTAATGATGATCGATGCCTATCCTTGCTATTTGTACCATTGTCTTACCGATATCAGAGATACATCTCTGCATTGTAGTACTAGCTCTGTCAACCAAAATAGGTATATCATCTATATGATCCCTTATCTTTCTTCATAGATTCCAGTTCATTCTATTCACCTGTAGAAAACCGTAGAATCGTGTATGAGATAAAGACTTCGAAATTCGATCTTTTCTTTACGTTGTTGTTGCATAGCAGATATTAATTTTTCGATTTTTAGATGGCTGAACTACAACGTATTGATACTCAAATTCGTGAACACCAACAGCTTTTAAGTGGCCACGCAGAAAAATTTATAGGAAATAAACAAACAAAGCAAGTGTATATGGAGAATGAAACAAATATTCGTAGTAAAATACGTGAGCTTAATGCACGAATATCGGCTATTATTAATCAATATTAAGAAAAAGAAGAAGATTAAAACCAAGTGAAAAGATTTTGTTTTTATTATTGTTAACTATTAGGTTATTAGATGTTTTTCTTTACGTATCCGTCTTATTGTGTTTTTGTTTTTTTTTCTTTTAAAAATCAGTTTTACTTTTGTTGTTGTTGTTTATCAAGTTGTGTTTTCATGACTTAAAAAAATAAAAGTAAATTTATCGACAAGATGGTAGCGTGTTCATCAAATGAGCGCGACATTCGCTATTAAACAACAAGCTGCAGAGAAATTTTATGATAAATTAGTTTTTATCATGTTCACTTGATCTATCGAATACGTCAACGACAGAATTTAGTAGCAACAAATTTTTACTTTAATTTCAAGAATTTTGGTCCAGAATCTTTTATATTTAATGATTATCTTCTGATATATTTCCATTTAATTCTATTAATGTATTGAAAAAGTCAGTCAAAAAATTATTCGTTAAAAAAATCATCAGAGCTCACGAAAATTTCATTGATTTCTTTTTCTTTTATAAAATAAAAACAAAAATTTATCTAAGAGTGAAAAAGTCTAAAAAAAGATTACAAAAATACCTTAGTCATTTTTAGAAATTATTGAACGAACAACCATAAAAACAGAACAAAAATAGAAAACAGTTTATCTTAAAATTGTTTAGAGTTTAAAAAATTGAAGTGGCGATTGTCATTATCATGCATTGCAAATTACTAATTTGATTTTATACTACTATCCTCCGCTATCACAGTTGTTGTTGAGATATCTACACTGTCAGTTATTTGATTGTCTTGTCTAATAGTAGTCGGGCTATCACTTGATGCTGTTTCACTTGGACGCGAAGTTGAGATATCCACACTGTCAGTTATTTGATTGTCTTGTCTAATAGTGATCGGGCTATCACTTGATGCTGTTTCACTTGGACGCGAAGTTGAGATATCCACACTGCCGGTTATTTGATTGTCTTGTCTAATAGTGATCGGGCTATCACTTGATGCTGTTTCACTTGGACGCGAAGTTGAGATATCCGCACTGCCGGTTATTTGATTGTCTTGTCTAATAGTAGTCGGGCTATCACTTGATGCTGTTTCACTTGGACGCGAAGTTGAGATATCCACATTGTCTTGTCTAATAGTAGTCGTGCTACTACTTGGTGTTGTTTCACTTGGATGTGGGGTTGTCTGTTTAGTGGTTGTTATTTCGAGTGAAGTTGAAAGTAGATTGCCAAGTGTGGTCGTTGGAGCTAAAACTCAGTATTTTAGACGATCAAACTTCACGTTCAACAATTTAACATACCTGTCATATCACTAGGTTTGGTTATGCCAACTGCTTTGCTTATGGTTTCTGTTGTACTTGAAATTATTTCTTCACTTTTTATGTTTTTCATTGGTAATGATGTTGTAACTTAAAAGATCAATCAAAAAAATTCTTAGTGCAAGAGAGTATGTGTTCTGCGAGAAAATTTGAGTACGTATTTTATTAGCCTTCGAAGAAGAACATCTCAAGATCTCTTTGTACTTTTTTGGTGTCTCAATATAATTTGTTTTATCAGGCTTACGGTTTAATTTTTGCAAAAGCTAAATTTTATCATCGAATTCTGAAATGGTTTTTCTCTTACATAAAAGATTGTTTTTATTCTCATTTGTGTGAAACAATTCTTCCCCATTCTTCTCAGAATTTTGATTTTTCACCAATGTATTTGACTGTGATTCATAATGAATTGTTGTGATATCTTCGGTCGCATCATCGTTATTTTCCACATTTGGATCTTTGTATACTACAAAAATTTGTTGGTTTTCGAAGTCAATTCTAATTTCTTTGACATCATTTCGGTAGACAACGGCCGCATCAAATACTATTCCGTTTTCACTATCGTCTCTGTCTGCGAATTTATCAAATTGTCGACGTTGCCGACTAACTTTGCCAAATGGTGAATAACCTTTTCTGTCTTCAGTTAAGGTTTCTGCTGTTGATTCCTGCTCATCCGACTCTTTATACATGATATTTGTTTCTCGATCAACGATGACTGAAACAAATTTTGTTTGTCCTTTGTTATAGTGAATCAACGTCACTTTTTGAAATCGTGCCGGTGTTTTAGTTAAACCTTGAAGTTTATTAATTAATGCCATTTCATCAACTTTTGTTTGTGTGTTAGTCTTTTGATATTGATCAAAATTATAGTAGAAGACATTATCTGTTACGATATATTGTTTTGTCGAATCGAATAAAGCTGTAAAGAATTGTTTTTTCTGAGTCGAAGATGAACCTTTTTGTGACACTTCAATAAGAATCAATTCAAAATTATCTTGCCAATGTTCATAGGGTTCTGTGCGAAGTAAACGATCAATTATATGATATAATTCGTCTTTTGTAAATAAGTTTATTACACTTTTCTGTGAGCGTTGAATTATATTTGCGATAATAACTTCATTTGACACTGCTTTAAGTGTTGGGTTCTTCAATTCATCGTTATCATAGAGTATATCATTCTGGATTGCTCCAGTCTCGGTTGTCACTGAAAAAGAAAAGAAGTATGCTAACCATAGCGAATAAGTTTGTCAAATTTGAATCAGTATCAGTGAAGAATCCTAAAGAATATCCGGACAAAGAGTTATCTTGTAAAAATATCAAAACACAGATTGTTTCAAAACTGCTGGTTAAAACTGTAATAAACCATGAATAAACTGAAAAAAATTTAAACTTACAGTCATCGATATTGGTCTCACAACGTTTTCCAATATAATTCGGTTCACATATACAAGCATAAGTTCGAGACTGAACTACATAAAAACAATCACCGTGATAACAAGGATTTGGTTGACATACGGATACTATGGGCAATGATGGCGCTGTAGACGTCGTTGTAGTTTCTAAAGCTTTATACAAAAAGAGAGTAAATAATAGTTGAATAGGTTCAGAAAGAATTGATTTGATTTACAATTAATGACCTCAAAGTGCTGAGTTTTTTTTAATTAATTTTTCTAACAACTACGTCTTGTAGAGTAAACATTTTTCTACAAGATGAACGATGACGAAAGTCTTCATGTTTTCTATTTCTGTCACAATCGCCTTTCGACGAAATGTTATATTCAATCGTGGGACTCTTTTAAGAAATCTTTTTTTTGTATAAATACTGGGTGAAGACAAAGAATGCTCCTCTCCCATAGAAAAATGTTTGCTCTACAAACTCTCGTTGTTAGAAAAATTTTAAAGAATCAATTTTTGTCGAGAAAAACCTTTTGCAAAAAAAAGCGCACAATTTCAATCGATGATAACCGCTCCATGCCTCCAGAGATATAATGCATGATAATAATCAACGCATGGATTATATAGGCAATCTAAAGATTCCTGATGCAAAAGTATTTAATGGTAGAAATGTGTCCCACAGTAAAGACGAAAAGAAATAATGAAAGTAACTGAGAAATTCGTCTGATCCGTATGTGACACCAGAACAGTTGCACATTGAGAGTTGCACTTACAAAAAGAGCATTTATCTATATAACCGACAAATAATCTAAGGGAAATATATATACGTGATTCATTTCGTTTAGAAAAAGGTAAGATTACAAAAATTTTACACACTGAGAATTTATTTTTTACCCCAGAAAGATTATCCTCATCATCATGTGAGACAAAGTAAAAATGTCCTGCGACATTGTCTTGGATAAATCGCATCGTATTGCCAAAGTAGCGCATTCAACGTCTATTTGACTATTTTGCCTGTAATGAATCACTCTGACAGTTTTACCTGGAATAGTCCTTAGAGGAGTTGGTGGCCAATTGCATGCTTTAATAGGGTCATCCCAAATTAAATTTGGAGCACAATAATTGATAAATTGATTGCCATTATTATCACATTGTATATATGACTGAGGATCGCTTGGATTCGCATAATAAAAGACGGTTCGACTAAAACTAACTTTGCATGGATTAAAGTCATCATTTACTAAAACACACGAAAAAAGGCGATAATTAATACGTAAATTGAGAAATTGTACTAGAACTACTTACGTGGGAAAGCAGCAGCATATGTCGTAACGAGGAAGAATAATCCCAGCGAAAACAGCATCCTGCTAATAAATTTTAATCGTACAAGGACAAGCGTGGCAGCTAATGTTTCAAAAAATTTTCAATTTCGTAAATTGCTATGTATTTCTCTTCTAACAATAGTAGATGCACAAATACGTCTTCTGCTCTAAACAAGTCAAGATAGAATGCTTGGTATATTGAATAGTAGTACATTATACATACGATAAAGAAAAAATCCTTCTTTGACACGTGTTGATGCTACACTTTGTTTGAAAGAAAATAAATTCTAGAAAAAACATATAATGGTCACACTATATCTGTTTAGGCCTATTCTACTATCCGAAAAAACAAACTTCGATTTTCAACAATGTACTAGCATATCACCGAATCGAAAAATTTCAAAAGCTTGTTCGGTCGAAATCGATTGCAGATTCGTCTTCTCCATGGTGGATTATGTGGTACGCAATAACTTTTGAATCGGGGTACTTTAGAAAAAAATTTTCCCATGGTCTTGCTCAAAAATTTTTCCAAATGTTACCGTATGGGACCAAAGGCAAAACGATGTCGAAAATTCTTTCTAAAGTACCCTGATCTAGAAGTTATCGCGTACCACATAATCAACCATGGAGAAGACGAATCTGCAATCGGTTTTGACCGAACAAGCTTTTAAAACTTTTCGATCCGGTGATATGTGTTACATCTGGACTCTAGCAATGATCGGATTCAACATAGAAACAGTGAAAAGCTTCTTTCCTTCAATAGGCACGCAGTGGGCAGTTTTGGCTAGGCACGTGGACATGTGCCAAGTCAAACTTGTTGTGTCCGTACGGTAAAACCGTCGCATTACACTGGATCGAAACATTTTTTGTTCAGAAATACTTCGCATGCACATCATTCGATGCAGCTTTTTATGCTGATTCCGAATATGCTATTATTTCTTAATACAGTTGCTTCTAGAACCAGAAAACTCGAATTTACCTAAAAATTCGAGAGTTTCTTGGAAAACCTGTGACTCGGTCCAGAAACGTTTACACTAATTTACGCTAATAGCATGGATGTATCGTAGGTAAAAGAAGATTTTGTGAAAGTTTCGTCCGAATTGAAGCTATGCTAAACTGTGCGCACTTACTGTACCGAAAACCGCTCTGTGGACAACCGTTAGCCTAGAAAGAAGAATTATTTTTTCGATTCCGAAGCGTCCGACGAAAAAAATTTTTTTTCCAATGAGTAGGCGATTTCAATGCACATTGCAGTACGTGGAACTGTCGACCACAGAAGGAGAGCATATGTTTGATTTTGTCGTACAGAGTAATATGCGTCAGCTAGTCAATGAAGTTACTAGAACAGTATCCAAAACATGCCTTGATTTAGTTGTGTGTGACTCCCTAAGTGTTATAAATGAATGTCGTGTACTTTCACCCTTAACAAGTAAAAATGATCATAAACTATTATCCATTGAATTGAATATAAAATTAGACTCGGTTCCTAGCAGTCAGCGATGTATCTACAATTATTCTGCAGCTGATTGGGACATGTTGAGAAACAACATTTCTCTGATTCCGTTTAACAATATTCTTAAAAATTATTCTTTTGTGAACGAGAGGATGTGTGTTTTTCAGCATATTCTTCTGGAACAAATCAATCAGCATGTTCCTCATAAGATTGTAATTACTAAATCTAGAGATCAGATATGGTTTAATGATACTCTTCGGAAACGATGCAGTAAGAGGAACAATTTATGGAAGAAATATAAAAACTCTACTTCGGGTACGGCTGCAAAGGAGAATTATCATCAGAAATATTTAACTGCTGTCACTGTTTTTGAGAATGAATGTGCTAAAGTTAAGCAGAAATATTTTTCTTCTATGTCTGCTCGTGTTAATTCTTCATCTAAAAAATGGTGGACTCTAGTTAAGGGAGCTTTAGGAAAGAACAAGACGGCATCGATTCCTACTTTAAGAACAGATCAAGGAGAGCAAATCAAAGATCTTGCTGATAAGGCTGAAGTTTTGAATCAATACTTCGCACAGACATGTACAATGCCCAAATCTTTATGCGACAAACAGCTATCAGCTTTTCCTGTTCGTACAACTAAGCAACTAACTAAATGTGTTGTGTCGGAAAATGATGTCTTTAAAATATTATCTCGTTTAAACATCAACAAGGCGGGAGCTCCGGGATTAAGTAACAGAGTACTTAGAGAACTAGCACCAGTTATTGTGTCTCCTTTTGCACAGTTGATTAATGGTTCTTTTGCATCAGATGTGTTCCCAGCTTGTTGGAAACTTGGTTTCACCAATGCTCCGTACAAAACTGGTGACGCACACTTGGAAAAAAATTATCGTCTCATTACTCTACCACTCGCTCTCTCGAAAGTATGTGAACGACTTGCACATCGCCACGTGTATGATTATTTGATAAGTAATAACTTGATTAGTGTGTACGTCAGTCAGGTTTTAAGAAACAAGATGAAACTATTACGCAATTGCATGAAATTATTCACTATATAAACAAAGGAATGGATGAGAATGTTTTTGTCCAAGGTGTATTTTTGGATATAAGCAAAGCCTTTGATACTGTGTGGCATCGTGGCTTGTTGCATAAACTGGAAAGTTATGGTATTAAAGGGTCATTACTGCAGTGGTTTAAATCATATCTTTCAGACAGGCGGATTGTTACTGTGGTTTCGGGTACAACCTCGACAGAGCGGAAAATTAATTCAGGTATGCTGCAGGGTTCCGTGTTGGGGCCATTACTGTTTTTGTTGTATATAAATGATATTGATGACAATCTGGAGAACCTTTGTAAGTTGTTTGCTGATGATACCTGTATTTTTGGCAGTGGTCGTGATCTTAAGCTGTCAGTTGACGCGCTGAACAGAGATTTGCAACGTTTGTCTGAGTGGTCTGATACCTGGTCACTTTCGTTCAATGTGAAGAAGTGTAAATCGATATTATTTATGAAAAACCGCAGACTTGCCTCACCGACACTTGGTATGAATAATATTAATATTCCTTTGAGTGATGTAGATGAACATGTCCATTTAGGTTTGTTGTTCTCAACGGATATGACTTGGACTAAACACGTTGATAGGCTTGTAGCCAAAGTTAATAGTTTGATAGGCGCTTGATATAATTTATAAAAGCTATGTATTATCTACTCTGAATTATGGTGCTACATCGTATTCTTTGACTACTGATTATAATCTGCTAAAGTTTGATGGTATACAAAAGAGAGCAGCTCGAATAGTCTCTGGTGCAATCAGCAGAACATCTACTTCGCTCCTGCTAAACGACTTACATTGGCTGCCGATTCGAGTACACTTCTTACAAATGCGATTAATGTTGTTCTTTCGTATAACACGTGGCCTTACAGCTCCTTACTTATGGGAACATATACAACTCTCAGTTTCTAATTCTAATTATAAACTACGTGTTGGAAATCGAAAAAGGTACACAGTTAGGAATTTGGCTACCAAATTACTTAGTAACACGTTTTTTGCTAAATTGCCTATAGAGTGACACGAGATACCCGATGAGATTACTGTGATACCAAAACTAACATCTTTCAAGAAAAAGCTTAGTGATCACTTTTACTCATTACATTTGACATGTGATTTGCGAAGCTGTTTTCGTATGAATGTACTGCGGAAACTTGAAGTAGCCTACACAAGATGTAGAATAGGGCTTCCTCCTTTGAAACATTGTTTGAAGGCAAAAGGGCTTCTACCCATCGATGAGACAGCCTTATGCACATGTGGATTGCGTGAAACTCTAAAGCATTATTTTTTGCACTGTGTTTTGTATGCGAACTCACCACAAATTCTCTTCCATACACTACAGCAGTTTGGCACTATAAATATGGATCTCCTGCTTCTGCGATGCCCACTTCACACTGATGACATGCGATTTGTTTATAGGGCTGTTGTTGAATACATTAAGTGTACAAAGCGTTTTTGATTTTGTGGGTAGTAAAGACTACCTCCTACTCTTTCTAATCTTTATGATATTCATTTTTATCTTAGCACCAACTCTATGTCATAATAACATAGTTAGTGTTTTGCTGCCTCCCGAGCTTACTTTCATGTTGTCTACTTTATCCTCCCTCAGTGCCACACACACACTAGTCACCCTCCCATCGTTGCTGCTGTTCCTTTGATCATTACTTTAATAGCTACTCTGTATCAACATCTTCAAAAAACTGTTTGTTTCTCTTTGTTTTTTGTTTTTTTTTCATTTTACTCATCTCTACTCTCTTCTCCTTTCTTTTTTTGGTTGGTCTCTGGTATGTAATACCGGAAGTGTTTGTTCACCTCTGTAATGGCTTTTGTCGCTTTGGGTGACATAACGTCTAAGGATAATTTTTTAAATAAAACTGCTTATATAAAAAAAAAAATAGGTAGAGTGAAATGTCTAGTCTCAAACGGTATATGATTTTTATAAATATTTTATTCTATTTTACTAAAAATTGCTTTTCGATCTTCATCGCTCTGTTTTTCGACAAAAATTCCTTTCTCGATTTTCTCACTAACTATGGCACTTAGAACAAAACTTCCTGTGTCAATTAAATAGAGCATAAGCTGGAGTATATGACCTGCTATTCGAATCTTGAAAAAGTTCACTTTCATTTTTTCACCTAATGTCCACGTGGTTGCCTACTGTGAGGCACCTACCGTTCTCTAAAGGCGCCTCCCTATGTCAAAAATGTTTTCATCTTCTCACATCCGATTTTGATGGTACTTTCAGAGAACGTTGGTCATATCAGAGCAAAGGTACGATAAAATTACTAAGACTATTTTGGTAGCCAGGTTAAATGTTAAAGAGCTTGAGTAGATATTAAAATGATGCAAACACATGTGGCTAGAGGCAAACAGAGTCTGATTTTTGATACACTGTTTTGAGGAGTTATAAGAAGGTTGAAAACTCAAAACTTCAAAATAACTTCCTTAATGTTATAATTAATATTCCATTTCAGCAGTCCTCGATGGAGAGTAAGATGAGTTACATATATTCTCGTTAGCCGTTTTTACTTGCTCTTCCTTTGCTGCTGATCCTGTTATTAATTGTTGTCGAATCGGGAATTTAGAATTAGACGTTGTTTGTCGTTATGTTTTTTTTGTTGATGTAATATTTGATGAAGAAAGTGGTTTGTTGAGCATTGTTGTTGGTGTTATATCGAACAACATATTTTTGCTCGATGGATTTAAAGATGTTATTGATGGTAGCAAAGGTAAAAGTGAAGGTACCATCATTTGTCCTGATTGTTGCTGTGTCATTATAGCTGACATTATTGCAGATGTCATCTGTTGCATTGCCGATGATAATGCATGAACAATCGTCGAGGATAACCGCTCAAACATTTCTTCCATCTTCTCTGCATGATGATGATCTACAGAAGAACAGTTATTTGACCGAGTAAAAGTAGAAGTCAACTGAGGAAGATCATCACCACACATGTCATGTGTTCGATTTAATTCTGTGGTATATTCATCTATTGTTTTTTAAATTTTTTCTTTATTTTTCAAATAATCAGGACATTGTTTAGAATTTGATGCATGTTGTTGATCACAGTTGACACACTTCAGCTTTGAACTAGTACAGCCTTTTTCAAGATGTTGTCCACCATATTTTTTGCATCCTCCTGCTTCTGGCAATATTTCGATGGATGTCCATATTTAAAACATTTGAAGCATTGAAAAGGTTCTTTGTTTGGTTGAGCTGCCTCAGCAGAAAAATGTAAATAATCAATTTTTAGTCCAGTTTTCAGACAGGTATTACGATTTAATTTATCAACAAATACCACTTTAATTGTTTTTGTCGGTTTATTCTCTTTCTTCAAATGAATTCTTTCAATATTTTCAAAGTCAAATCCGTGAGAGGTCAGTGCCTCTTAAATACCTTGGATTGAGAAATCAAGATCCATATATTTAATGAAAACTATTTTTTGTACATACATTTTTTCGAATCTTTTTCAGCAAATGCATCTTTAGGAAAAGATTTCAATAAATTATTGAATGTTACAATGTCTGAGAGCTGTGTTATGATTAAATTTTGTTTATTTTTTGATTATATTTTCAATATTGGCATCTTTCATTCGTGTTTTTAAAATATTGTTTAGTTGTACTTTTGTTATATTTGGCATGCCTTTTACCACAATAGGTGCTATTTTAAATTCGTCCTTTTTAGATACTAAGTTCTTTTGTTTTTGTGGACGAGTAATATGTAATAAATCAGAGTGCTCCCTCTTCAGCGATCTCTTTCGATCGAGAGGACGATTATTCATAACTCTTTCGAATGTCAACTTTAGATATAATTACAGGAGTTTAAATTTTTATTTATTTGATTTTTGAATTTTCCTGAATGATGATCTTGTAACTTAGTACGAAACCTAATTTTTGAAATTATAAGTGTCAGTTGCTTGTAAGATAGACAGTAACTAAACAACAGAGCTGAAATATAAGTTACTATTACATTGTTATACTAGAAAAAAAGGCGTACATATTCTCAGATGTTGAAGTTCGATGTCATTATAATATTGAAGAAGCAGATTACTATTGTTTCGACTGTAATGTTGAAGAAATTTTATTCACTTTACATGCAGAAAAGTAATTACTAGTTACATATATATTTGGTCTTCTTAATCGGTATAAATCAGTATAGATCTGCTTTATTTAATTTCCCTATCGACACAAGCATTAGATTATATTTTCTCAATTATTTTTTCTGCAAAATAATTTTCTTCCTAATTTTTCATATCGCACGATCGTCAAATACGTTTAAATACGTTTCTCCTAGACGCACACAGGGCTGATTTGACGTCTAAACCAGTTTTAATAAATTGAATCATTGTATAAATGTCTCCAATTGACAAATTACTTTTGATTTAAATATTTTAAGAGAAAAAACACCATAGGTGAATGTAAGTGTAGTACATTAATTTAATATGTTGCTCATTTAACACCTATAAATTGAATCTACATATTTTAGTTTATCTATCTGTACACTTAGCACACATTGAATTAAGTAATTTGACTATTTGAAAAAACAAATGAATAAACACTTAAAAAACGAAAAAAATCTGTTGTACACATACAAACCACACGGATTCATTCTATATTTATCTTAGGTACAGCTGGCGAAAAGAGTCAATCTTTTCAATTGGTTATTGAAGAGTTTCACATGTTTTGTCTCTCTTCTGGAGCTGTTCTAAGATCTACAGCTAAGATTTTTATTTTGTTCTTTGAATACGCTATTTACAAAATATTTTCAAATGTTTCATCTTAAATACATGTTTTTGACCTCAAGCGAGATCCTGATTGTCAATACTAAAATAAAATACTTTAGGCTATTTGAAGAAAATGAGAAATTCGCAATTTACTCGAAAGCGGTTTAAAATATTCTGGGAATTCAAAATATATTCAATTTTAGTTACTTAGTCTAGTTTAATCTACAGGATGTTTCAAAAGTCCGGGAGAAAATAAAATGTGAATAACTTCGCCATTTCTTAACCAAACTTCAATTTTCCACTTTGACATTTTTTTATTTCGGTATTTTTTCACTTCGATATTATTCCGCTTCGATATATCTCTTTTGACATTTCTACTTTCGACATTGGCCGCTTTCGACATTTTCGACATTTCTACTTTCGACATTGGTCGCTTTCGACATTTTCGACATTTTTACCTTCGACATTTTCCCTTTCGACATTTTTCCTTTCGACATTACTACGGCCAACCTGTGTTGGTATCAATTTCTTCAGACATTGTTATTCCATACTAGCATCTGGAAAAGTGCAAAAAAGTAATAAAAATATTTTCCGATGGTTGGCCGTAGTAATGTCGACTAATTTTTGACCTAGACAACGATTGAAGTTGTGCAATTACATTGCACAACTTACCTAACCTTTTCTTTTTAAATTTATTTGATTCTTTTCTTTTATCTGGTCAAAAATTAGTTGTGTATATCTTGTAGCGGCTGTTACAATACTTTCTGTATGATCCAAAATATTTTCTTTGAGCCCAGTGCGCTTCAGGGTTTATGATTGTGTAGGTAAAATAGAGCACATTTTGACATCCCAGTAAATTGCGAATCTCTCATTTCCTTCAAATAGCCTAAAGTATGTTATTTTACCTTAAGTAGATTTTCACCAGGCTTTTAAAATTTTTCATGAAAACAAACAATGTTACTGGATAGGGAACGTGGTTGATAACCTGTGTTTCCAAATGTCTTCAAGGTTACCTCTTGGATAGAACAGTCAGACTGCGGACTCTTAGGACATCCAGAATCACCCGTGAACTGTTGACAATCATGTTCTTGCTTGAGCTTCGTTTTGAAGAGATCACTTCGGGACATTATTTATCTACTGAATAAACCGATATATTCCTACATCAAGTTTCAGAAAACTCACTTTGAAAAAAGAATTTTTAATTAATTACATAATATGTGCTAAAATCTTGGCTGTCACTGGCTTGGCTGTCACACAATGATAAATACCTTTTCCTCTTGTATTTCAGTCAGAAAATCGACGCATTGCTCAGCATCAGTGAATGTATCAATGGTATTCATAATCCGTCGTAGTTGAGTAAGAGAATTATGAGAAATGTCGTTGGATTCATCAATGTCGGCGTCCAGCCAGGTGAGAACAAAATTTTGGACAATACGCTGTTTTGTGGTGGTAGTGTTTCCAACTCGTGTTCATACAGTTGTACCTCTGCGGTCTATCCACATATTTGGCCATCAGCTTCGTATATCAAAAACATACCAGAAAAACCTTGTCAGGGTGGTACGTTCGGTACCAAAAGGTGAAGTCCCTATACTGATCAAGACAGATCAATAAAAATCAGCAAGAAATTTGCTTAGAAACGATTTGCTACTACTGTATTGTATTTCGGGAAACTGAAAACGAAACTTATTCATGGGTATCTCATAAAAAAAATATTATTTTCTATTTTCGTCCCTATTTTGTTTTACAAAGAGGAATTATCTGTTATTGGTGTGTACTGTCAAAGAGAAAGAAAATAGATAACGATGAAGTAACTTGTGAGTCAAAAATTCGAAGAAATGATTTCAGTTGAAGGAAGTGGTACTGATGAATCAACAAATAAAATCAGTGTTAACAATGACTCAAAGGAAAATACTCCGTACAAAATCAATGAGAAGCTTAGAGAAAAGTGCGTATATCGTACCTCCTGTGATGTGAACTAGGACCTTTGAGTAAGTGATGTCTGGATTTAGAATTAATCTTCTTTTAACATAGATGCCTTGGAAAAATATGAGAACGATAGACTGAATGCGCATATTGTTCAACGATGTGCAGAATTTCAGTTATGAAAGTTGCATTAGAACATGACACACAAGTTCATGATTGTCGTGTGGATGATCTGCTTTCTAATCATTGCATAAAAATAAACTTCCAGGGAGCTCGTGATATTTGTTTATATTCGAAATACAAAAACTATACATCTGTTGACCCTCTTCCAGAACACCTGCAACTAGTATACATGGAAACTCTTAAAAGGTTGTGACCGTCCTCGTAACAGGTTGTACATTTAAGAGGTTGTGACCGCCCAAAAAAACATTCTCCTGATATCGATCGATATCACACAGGTACGTAAGAGGTTGTGACCGAAAGTGGTATCAGATCTTAAGTAGGTTCAAAAAAACCCATGATAACAACGGTTTTTGAGTATATAACTGGAACTCCGTCTTCTTCGAAGACTTGGAGAGAGATTCACAAAAATACTACTGATAACATCGATTCTGAGCTGGGATAAACCAAAGGCTTGTGAGTACTGATTCACACTGGTGCAAAATGGTTACTTTCGTGAAAAGGACACCATCGCTCGTCTTTACACGTAGACGATGACGTGCGCCGACTGTCCATAGTATTCGCTTCTCTCTCTCGCTAACGACGGAGTTGGGACTCTTCCACGGTCTGCTCTTTCTCCTGAAGTTTGGCAACGGACCTGGACTTTTTTCATAGTGTAAGTCCCGCTTATATGTCTGAATCGTTTTTGGTTGACTCAGGTTAACAAATACTGATTTGAATGATCTCTTTTCCATCATGTATTTGCATCAGTTCAGTGATAGACAAGTGATGATTATGATAGTTTCCTAGCGATTGAAAAGGACCTGTGGATGACTTTTTGAAATAACTGATTGGAGTATCCTTTTCATCATCCGAAATTTTTTTTTACGATTGTATCACTCCGCCTCAGTGCCGGCTGGCTACACTGCTACTCTTGTCAAATTTCGATCAGGGCCTTTTATCGCGAACATTGTCAAATATCAGGCGATCAACTCGATGAACGCATTCCTGCACAAGCGTGATCTTCTTGGAGCAGTCTAGAATGTTCTTAATGATAACACTCACACCATTCTCCCAAGCATTTCCAGTTCGATTGCATATCTGACTGGCTTATTTCTAAGGAACAATATCGAGCAGTCGAAGTCGATCGCCAAGAAGAAGTCCGTCTCATCTGTCTTTCCGTCTAGTTCGACACGACTGCTCATCATTCGATTATCGCCAAAATGATCTCAGAGTGAGCGTCGAGTATGAAGAAAGAATTGACAATTATCGATTCGAAGATCGAAGGAAGGGAGCAATACACCCACTGTTTTTTCTTCGATGGATTCGACTAATATTGTTGGTCAGTCAGTGTGGAATGACTCCCTCTATCTCCGCTGCCTGAGGTATCGGGTCTGACGTCTTGATCGTACTTGCGCAAGTACGTTTTCTAGGGCTGCTTGTCCGACCTCTGTTCTACACGAACAGATCGAACTCGATGTTTATCGCAGTTCCAGTGCAAGCGCCAACATGTTTGGCTTAGTCAGTACTTTGAAGAAAGTCTAGAACGGACCCACAAATTTTGAGAAGCATTGAAAACTCACAAATGAAAGTGTATTCATGAGTAGGAAAATGAACTTTTAAAATGCGAGAGGGTTTTGGGATAAATTCTGTAGAGTTTCATATCCAAAGGACCCTACACAACCAGTTATCGGTTAGGGGGGCAAACCACCCCCTCGTTTGGATAAAGTTACCCAGAAAATTTTGACTTTCTGAAATTTTTTAAGAAATTTAAGTTGAGAAATTATCTTTTATGCATCTGAGTAAGTGATTTTCTCTAGCTTCTGAGTAACTCAGTTACTCAGTAACTGAGTTACTCAGTTACTCAGAAAAAAATTTTAGTCAAAAAATGCGTTAATCAATAGAAAATTTTAGTTACTCAGTACCCTCCACCAAAACTACTATCGAACACTGACTAGAATCACGGTTGAGGGAGGGAAGAATAGACTCTATCAAGTCAGTGTGACGCACTGTGTGCGAAAGTACCACTTTTGTCGCATAGAGAAAGACTGAATATGCCATTTTGTAGCTCTTGAAATGGTCTATCAGTTGAGAAACAACTGATAAATTTTTTATTTCGAGCCTTTGTGATCGGGACCTTTTCCCTTTTATTTCATATTCGGTTTTCTACGCCCTGCTAATGGAGCTCATTGTAAATTTTGTACAGTTAGGACAAAGTGTAAGGTTTTTTTACCAATTTTGTCTTGCAAAGGTACAGAAAAATGTTTTCTCTATCATCTCTAACCAACCCAATTGGCGTACAAGTCTTCTTTTGGCACTCATAGTGCGTGAGAGGAAATGCTCCTTGTTTCCAACTCGTTTTTCATGCAAATCTGCCACAAGAAACTCACTATGTTGTCTAAGACAGTGGTTTTGAGTGCTGTGAGAAAGAGCACGTCCGAAAACATGGAAAAATCCACATTAGAGTGCGTTCGCGTCTGATTAGACAGAATCAGCGACATAATTAAACTTGTCGCGGTACGTGCATCAATAAGTTACAAATTGAGCTCGGTATACCATCTGTTAGACAAATAATTCAATATGCTAAATTAAAATTCATTCATAAAATTATACACAATCAGTCTCCTTCCAACCTGAGAAGTCTAACTACGTTAAAAAGAGACACAAAAACTAGACAGACGCGTCACTATGTACCAATAGATATAGTTCCTCCAACATTCAACACATCTTTTGTAGATAGGTCAGTACTGGTGAACGTTATAGATGACTGGAACAGACTGCCCTACGAAATGCGATTTATCACAGATACTGGGAACTTCTCTATAAAATTGAAAAGTCTCCTAAGTTTTCCATCTCGGCCACCAGTTTGGTATAATGTAGGAAGTCGGATAAACATTATCCACCTCACCCGTATACGCCTAGGCTTTAGCTTTCTATTAGCGGACCAATATAAACGTCATTTCGTTGCGACACCAAATTGTAGTCATTATAACAAGCCTGAAACAGCTGAGCACTACTTTTTAAAATGCCTTCGATTTGTCCAGGAAAGATCTATCTTGTTGAATAATATAAAATCGATTATCGCAATACCATCAACTACTGAACTCATTCTGAAAGGGTCAATTAACCTTACCCCAGAACAAAACATCCTTATCGTAAATAATGTCCACAAATACATCGTTGACACTAAAAGATTCACTTAACATTCTTTACTTCTTGTGCTACTCTATCTATTGTTATATGTAGGGAGGAAAAGTTTTTTGTATATTACAATCCTCGTTAAATAAATTAAACTATATATAATTAAACTTCTGGAAAGTGCTCCCATTTGGGACATTGCAGTGTTGACAGCCTATGAATTTACAGTTACATATTGTGCGTGCTCTTTTCTTAAAGTTTTGAAGAGAATTAAATAAAGAATCTTTTGAGATTAAGCTCAAGTCTCTACGATGAAAACTCACCGAGATATTGACGAAATACCGGCGATATCATTATTTATGCCGCACTCGTTATAATGAAAACATTCAACTACTTTTTAATGTCTAAACTTTTCGTTGATTATAGCACGTCCTTATCTTGTAACTTTTACTCTTGTTCGTAATAGACATTCGATTTACGTTTTGTCCATATTATTTATAATGTTTGACAAAAAACGACTATATTTTTTCTATTATTGAGGTAACGAATATTATTTACTTTTCTATTTTATAAAACAAAACTACTCTATCATGTGATTTTAATTGTGTCACATATTTTTAATAGAAAATTAACATTTCAAAAAAATGAAACTTGAACAACAGAAGTGTTTCATTCAAAACAATATTTTGCAAATAAAACATATTTATATATTTCGGTTAGTCAATCTATGGTTGTTTTATTTTTGTTTTTAGAAGGTCTTTCTTCGCAATTCTCACACAAAGAGGAAAAAGGGGAAAAAAACAGAACAAAAATAAACAAAAACTATTTTCGTGTTTTTAACCATGGATAGAAAACAAAGTGACGTTAAAAATATATATATACATCATAAAAAAATCTTATAAAGTTAATAAAGATCATGTAAATATGTATAACTGAAACAAAATAACATCTTAAATATTTGCAGATAAAGAAGCAAATGATTTTGCAGAATTGAGAAAATATAATGCTTGAATTCATAGAAAAAACAGATTGATGCAGGTTTATGTCTATTTTAAAATAAAGCTAAAAATGATAACAATGTCAAATAATTGAATGAAGAGAAAATTAGTCTTATGATCGTATTATAACAAGTGAAAAGGAAGTCAAATGGAATAAGAAAAAAAAAAGAATAATAATAATATGAAAATTTAACTAAAACTATATTAGAAAAAGGACATAAAATGAGTTGTTGATTTTTTTGGTATAAATTGTTTAACATAACTATAATATATAGATGACTTAAGTATCTTCCTCTACTGAACTTTGTTCGACAGATATCTTAAAACTAAACGAGAAAAATATTGAATGAACCAGTAGATGAAAAACATACGTACGTCTTTTTATCGAGACATTCTGCTAATCGTTTACGATTATTAATCATTCTGTCCAATAATTCGTCATGTTCATGTTGTAGTACACACAAAGTACGAACACGTCTAAAATAAAATATAATAATTCATTGAAACAAACATGTATTATCTTTGTATATACTCTATTTGTATTTTTTCGTCATTGTTCAACGAAGACGTTGAATTATTTGTATCATCATCCAAATTAAACATGGAATTTTTATCAATATATTCAGACTAAAAAAGAAAAACAAAATTGAAAAAAAGAAAATCAATAACAATTCGATTCAATACATACGTCTTTTATAGATTGTTGAGAACCATGTGGTAAAAATAAACCAACAGATTTACTAAATATAGATTAGGAAAAAGAATTAAATCAAACAAATAAAATTTTTAAAAATCAAAAAAAAATTTAAATAAAAATATTAAATATTTACAGATAAAATTAGTTTAAAGTATCTGAAGAAATTTAGCGAAAAAAGATCGACAAATCATTCCTTGATAGTGCGGGAGCCAAGATTAATAAAATATTTTATTCTCAAAAGTGCTGATTAGAAAAGAAAAATTGTTTAAATTAAAATGCTAAGAATGAAAGGTTTATCAACTGATAAAACAATGAGTAGGAAGTATTAAATTATATCTTTATCTCAAGTTGTATGAAGAAGAAGAAGAAGAAGAAGAAGAAGAAATTATATTGTGCTATGCACTAAATATTAGTATTTATATCCTAATAATACAGATCCAGCACCGAGCAAAATAATGCTAATATATAAAAACTAACACACACACATAGATATATATATATATATATATGTATATACATGAAAAATTTTTTCATGCTGCTGACCTTAATAAATAGACTATAATGTCAAATACTTGCCGGAAAACAGTATGCTCACTCGGTCTAAAATGATAAAATAACATTGATAAATAATTTCTTTTTGTTTTTTGAAATCATTTATTTACCTTTGACCTTGAGTTTTCAATAGTTCATCCAGTTTAACATTATTTTCACATTCAAGACTAATTAATTCTTTTAAATGTCTAGAAAGAAATTTCAATAATCCTTTACTTTTCTTGTCTACTAAGTAAGAAAATGCTTACTTTTTACTAGTTTCAACTTCTTTCAAGTATGAATATTCTAATCTTTCTAAATCATCATTCGTTTCGTACTGTGAAAATGATAATGTACGCAATGACGCTGTATCTGGTGGTAAAGGCGTGAGAGCAGGCGAAAAATCTTAAATAAAAAAATAAAAAATATACTCTTTTACTTATCTTAGTACAGGACAACTTTATATTTAAAAAGTACCCGGTCTAATATAGCCAACAATAACTTCAACTGCCCGTCGAATAAGATTGTCAAGGGCAAACATAACATGTGGAACTATATTTTTATTTAATAAAATAGAATTGGCCTAAAATTGATGAGAAAAAAATTGAATATAAAGTGTAAAAAGAATAAAATGTGATGTAAAAACATACCGCTTTAATAAAACAATAACATCCTCTCTCTAAATCTGCTCGTCGATCACTATCCATCACTGTCGTCTTAGAAATCTGTTCTATTGCTAGTTGTAGTGGTTTTTCATTTAATGTATCCAGATATTCAATTATTGCCGGTAATAAAATATAAAGTGTGTCCTAAAACCGTAAAGAATAGAATAACGGTTTCTATTTCTTATTATTGTGGATATACATACCATATTCATCCTTTCTGGATCGCTTTTTTCTTCAATAAGCGACATCCATTGATCAAGTAACTAAATTAATAACATAAACTACTATGCATTATAACTAGTAAAAAGTGTGAAATAAAGAAAACTTACCGTATCCCTTTGGCTTTCTAAATATTCGATTAATTTTTTTCTTCGTTGTTCTTCAACCGATTTGGCTATTGCTACACTTTTCTCAGGACTGTAAAAAAAAAGATATCAAAACTTGTTATTTCTTTAATACGTTCGTATTTGTATGGATCTTCACCTTGCTAAAAGTATATCGTTGCTGTCACTAATTGAATGATAATAGTCTGGATGATGTGAGTCATATGTACTGGGAGCGAAACTAAAAATAGAAAATAAAAAATAAATCATAGAAAAGTATAACTGTATAACCAAAAATCATAAATTAAAGTATAAATGTTGAAATTCTAAAATATGTTTCTCACAAAAAGTATATAATAATAATAATAATAATAATACTGAAATAAATCATTAAGCATTCGCATGTTAGAACTTTGAGCAATAGCAAATCAACGACTGAATATAAACTTTACAAGTTTATACATGTAAGAAAAAAGTGTAGCCAGTAACTCTTCAGCTCCACTATTATAAAGATGATTCTGAATAAACTTTGTTCATAGTCGATAGACGATGATAGACGAAGCTACCTATCTTTTTAGCATAATATCCATAAGAAATTTAGAATTTCTGCTATTACTTTTTCATAAAAATGAACAAACATGAGCCTTCTAAATGCCAAACTGTCGATATTCAATTCTCAGTGATATCGATATTTTGAAATTCTTTCAATTCAATTTATGTTAATATTAATTATAAGAATTTCGTTGAAAAAGAGTTCCAGTTTAAAAAGTTATGTGCCGGGTGTTTCAAAATGTTTGTGACATTTTTTATTTTGCATATATCTCAGTACAGAAAAATAATAAAAATCTCCTAAATTTTTTTTAAAAAGATGCGCAATTCAATTCTTCACGAATTTCTATTTACCTTAATTTAAAATAATAGAACTGAACGTTTTTATAGGTCACATAGTGTAATTGTATGAATTGTGCCTACTTCCCACACATTTTTACTATGTTTTTTCTGATTTGTTTCAAATTATAAACAGGCACCTAAATAACTAATTATTTGTAATTCGATTGAATATCAAAGGCTCTTTCAGAATTATTTATAAGCGTTTGATCACAATCTATTTGTATCTAATAATAATAGCCTGTCTGAGCTGCTACAGCAAAAATATCCTTTTTGACAGTGTTCAAGTTCTTCTTCCAATTGAATCGTTTTATCGCATGTTATATGAGCTCCAAGTGGAAAGAGAAATCCATTTTCCACAAAATATTGTAAAAATGAACTCGGTTTCGTCGTATGTGACATTTCTAAGATACTTTTTTGAAAAGGAGTACATAACCAAGAGAGAAAACGTCGCCATACTCAAAATATGGCTTTGTAGAAAGTACCGTCTAACCGAAAGAATGAGTCTTATATAACGTCGTATTTATGCACAATCGATAGAGACTTTCAAGAGTTATCTAGCAGTGACTTATGTTTTAGAAAATAAATATTCGGTTGTATTGGGAAAAATAAATTAGGAATAAATATGTGTGGAAAGTAGGCACAATTTATATAATCATATTATGTGACCTATAGAAACGTTCAGTTCTATTATTTTAAATTAAGGTAAATAGAAATTTGTTGAGAATTGAATTGCGCATCTTTTTAAAAAAATTTAAGAGATTTTATTATTTTTCTGTACTGAGATATATGCAAGATAAAAAATGTCGCAAACATTTTGGCACACCTGGTATATACTTGAACAGAGTCATTGAAATCACTTGAAATAATCTTTCTTAAACAATATTTGTTTTGGATTAATCGTTTTGTGGACATTGTTTAGCGTATCTGACTCGGATGCTTGTTCTTTTGAAAATCTTTGCATATCTTGCATTTGAGTGGAAAAAAAAGGAGGTATAACTATGTTCGTTGAAAGTTATTCTCTTCATGTTATAAAATGAAGAAAATCAAACATCCTACGGCTTGGCCAGCTAACTCTGCTGACAGAGTGAAATTCCGTAACGATTTTTCTCTCATTGTGTTTCTGTTATAATTTTCGAAACGGTGATACGACCAGATAGAGATCTGGAATGTCTCAGATTAAGGACAAAAGTGTTTGTATTTTCATCATAGTTTTTGCATGAAAGTATTTATAGTCTGTGGGAATATCTTAAAATCTTTTAGTACACTTTGTCTTTGATTTGAGACGTTCTAGAGCTCTGGGCGCATCGCCATTCAAAAATTATAAGAAAAACAAAATGCAAAAATATCGTTACAGAATTCCATTTCGGTAGTAGAGTTTGCTGGTCAAGTCGCCTAATAATTGACTAATTCTATTCGATTCACAAAGGTTTAGGCATTATTCCTACTTGCTACAAGGTGTTAGAACAAGACAGAAAATATAATAATAAAAGTACCTAGACGAAGAGAACAGAGACTTTGGACTCGTCGGTGATCTATAAGAATAATAAAGTTTAGCATTTATATTTAAAAATGTGAGATGCTTTATGAAAAAAGCAAATTATTAATCGTACCCCCATACACAAGCTAGCAATAGATGAAATAATATTAATTTATTAGATACCTATCACTTGTCGAATGATTTGATTCAATTATATTCTTTTTTTCTATAATATAAAATCCATTAATCCTTTCTTTCATGTGATAAACTATATGAAATCTTACCTCCTCCAACCGATCGTCCTGATAAACTTTTTTGTCTAAAAGAATAAAATCCATAGAAAATGACGAACTTAAGTACAATGAAGATTTAACGTACCTTACAAATGAATGATTCAATAATTCTTTGGCACTTGAGCGTTTATCTGGGTCTTGCTCAAAACATCTGAAAATAATAGAGATTATAAATAATAGGGAAAATAAATTATTTCCATTTTCTATTACTTATGTAAAAACTCTTTTGCTTCATCAGATAATTCTTCTGGAATTTCTGGAGGTTGTTTCTCCGTGCCCAATTTTATCATTAAAACACAACTACTAGCAACTTTATGAAACGGAATTTTTCCTGTTGCCATTTCGATAACGGTACAACCGACGGCTAAAATATACAAAATGTGTATGAATGAGAGAAGATATGTGCGTATAGATAGAATAATAAAATTTTGGTCATAAGGATATATAAACTACTTAAAATCAATTACATAATAATTTAATAAACGACTAACTTACACCAAATATCGACCTAAATAATTAAAATGTTTGTTCATTTAGTATAATGAATTTTCTTTCTTTTCTACTTACTTCAGGTCCATAGCCTTTTGGAGCCACACGTACTACATCCGGTGCCATATAATTCAAAGTTCCTAAACATTAAAAAAAACTATCGTCTAATATTCTTATTTCCTACAATTTCTAATTATAACTACTGCCATGAGTTAATTTCTAATATTTACCAACACTATCTTCATTCGCCAGATGTAGACCAGCCAAACGTTTTGAAGTTCCAAAGTCAGCAATTTTTAATTCTCTAAAGACAGCAGTTAACTATTCTATAATTATAATGAGAAAGCTAAGCTTACCCTCTTGAATTAACCAATATATTTGCTCCCTTAATATCTCTATGTAATATTCGATTTTCATGTAAATACATTAAACCCTCTAAAATTTGACGTGTATAATTTCGAATTGTTTTTTCAGGAAAATGGCCAAATTTGGAAATCAATTTTGTTAAACTACCACCATCAACATATTCCATAATGATTTGAAAACAAGGTGGCTTTTTTGTACGATCGATATTAGTTCCATAATACGACACAATATGACGATGTTTTAAAGATGATAGAATTTTGATTTCATTTTGTAATACATCAGCATAGCTAATAATAGAAAAAAACAGCTGATATAATTAGAATAAAACAGAATAAAAATAATTACCCTGGATATCTCATCGATATTTCCTTGACTGCATATTTCATTAGCGAGTCCGTATCTTCTGCTTTGAATACACGTCCTAGTGAATGGTAAACACTAAAGAAATGATATTCAACATGATCATTTAAACTTACCATATGTCCCTTGTCCCAAAGATATTCTATTTCCATACTGATCTTTTTCAAATTGTAACTACCAATGAAAACAAATTACAAAAACAAAATGCGCTAAATATTTATCCATTTTCTCTCACCAGCTTACATTCAAGTCCTGATTTGTTTCAACATCATCTGTTTCTGATTTAGTTTTTCCAATTTTTTCATTAAATCTACAAATTTTCTTTCTAATTAATAATTATAAATATACAAAAGCATTTACACTTACGCTGTACGTCGTTCAGCTGATGAAAAATATATTTGTAATTCGAGTGAAGAAAATGTTTCCACATTCTCGTATGCATGAAGAAACACTGAACGTGCATCACGTTTTACATTTCTAAACAAAAATTATCACAATTTCTAAATATGATTATTTCTAATAGATACAAGTTAACATACATTACTGAACGTATAGATTGCATTTCAATTGTTTTAACACCACTTCTAGCTTCCGGTATGTCTGGTGTTGCCGGTGGATTATCAGATTTATTAAGAACACGAATAACCAGTGTCTCAGGATCTGTATGAAAGTTCAATTGTAAATAGGCTTCGAGATAGACGTGTGTCTGTAATACGCCACTTTTTTTCTCATAATTGTCACAAATGAGAATCTAAGAACGAGAACAGTTGATAATTAATTTTGAATTACGCTCACAAATAAAATTCAAGTAGATTTTAAATTTGATTAGTCTAATGGATTTTAGAAATTAAAAAGAGTGTAAGTTCGATTTTGAAGTTCTAGATTTTCAGATAAATCGACCAACTGTCGAAGAGGTGCGAAAATAATGAGAAAGAGCCCGAAATCAGCATCGAGAATTTGACGTCATTCTCATCGATATGCTCAGATGTGCCAAGATAACTGTCTTATCTGGTTTTTGATCTCACTTTCTTCACATCATTTTGATTGTTCTTCGTTTTGTCCAAAAATCTAAGAATTTAACATTAAACCTACAATCTTTTTTTTTTGTTAAAAGTTATGTAAATTTAAAATTAAAGCAATCAAATCTAAAATCTGCTTAAATTGTATCTGTAATGGTATTACAGACTTACTGGCATACTAGCGGGTAAATAGTTTGCTGATGATTGACCAGATTGAACTGCATCATCAAAAAATTCAATCCAAAAACTAAATGCTTCTTCACTGGCCATAGTTTTATTCTTGGAATTCGTAGAAGATTGTATCTTTCCGTTTGATTCTTTCGTATTTTTTGATCGGTCATCTCTTATTATTATCGCATCGTGTAATAGTTTTAGATTAAAAAATGTTGATTTCATATACCAGACAGGTGGATTTAATAAATACATATGTAATGCTGCTTGATTTGCTTTAACCCATTCTTGTTGAACAACGTGTAATTCAAAATAAGTGGCAACGTCCCAGTAGTCAGCTAAATCTCTTAGAGCTCCTTTTTTACCCAATAATGCGTTCAATTTCATAACTTTTAAATGAAATGAGAAAAAAAGTCACTCTTTTCATAAAATAAAAGTAATATCGGAATACATACTTATCTTATAAGCTTCATTACTGGTTTTTGGATCTTCTCCAGCAATACATAAAAGGGTTAACAAGTTGATTCCAGCACTTAAAAAAACGTACATATGAAGTACGCATGTAAACAATAAATTTTCTTACTCACTAGATATTAGGATCCGCTGCGAAACCTTTCCTATACCTAAATCAATAAAAAAACATACAACAAATTCTACGAAGAAGCAAAGGAGTTATTCAGCAATGGTAGCCAAATCTGAGCTCAGAAAACATGTCAAGTTCGTAAAACGCAAAAATTTGAATAAAATTGATTAATATTCAATCTCTAAACTATCGGATCAATAAAGATTAATGCTAGATATAATTCTTTTTAGCAGTCTATCGTAAGAGAGATTTAATTTGTACTTACATTGCGATTGCTTTTGTCAAACTGTCTTTATCTCTACAATCTGATTCAGTAAATTTATCTTTATAGATTCGTCCACATAAACATATTGCATCGTTTGATTGCTCATTTTCAGTTTTTTTAGTTGTAGACGACTTTTCTAAAATTTCCAATGCTCGATCTCTATCACCAGGTGCATTTCGTCTAAGTATGTGCAAAATATTCATGCACATCTATTTTTCCTGTAAATTATATTCTTTTGTTGCTACCTGCTATAAGCGAAAGCAGTAAGATATGCTATCATTGGATTATCTGCTAATTTCGTCCAAATCACATCTAATTGTTTACAACGTTCAATAACTTGAATTATCGATTCATAATCCTACGATAGAAAAGAAAATAGAACAATATGACTCAGTTAACTTTCTTTGATTTTTTACTTGAATATCACGAAATGCGTAAATTAGATTTAATACCAAAGCCGGCGTTGCATACTCTTGCATTTTATTCGTAAATACGTCATTGCAAATTTCATTCCACAAAAACTGAAGTGATAGATAAAAAAAAAAAAGAGACCATGGAATAGAGATTGGATATGTTGACTCACTTCTTTGTAAAGAGTTGTATCATTTATTGCATGTCGACGATCATTCATAAGAGCAATATACCGATCACTCGAACTTTTTCTAAACAAATATATTAAAGATCGTAACAATCAAAGTTTAGTTACAATTACTAACTGGACAATAGTTGATGCTGCTTCAAGAGATGCTCTTAGATTAGTTCTTAATAGCGCAATTCGTTGTGATGTTGATGTAGCCGTAGTATCATAAAATATCCGTTGAGCTTCGTCATAACGATAAACAATAAGACGTTTGATTTTGCACGTTGTCTGAAAATAATCATTAGATACACCAATATTAATTCTATAAATTGTGTCAACATACCTTCAAATCTTGAATAGCATCATTTTCAGCACTTGCTTCTATGAGAACGATATCTTCTGTATAGCCAATGCTTTCTCTCGTGCCTTTATGATACATAAAAACGGGTCGTTTTTGTGTATTAGTGACATCCTAAAAGATAAGTACATTTAGAAATCCAGTTCATTATTTTACACACACGAAATATACCATCAACACAATGTCAGCTGTTAAAAATTTATTTAATGTTTCATGTTCTTGAAAATCTAATTTATTAAAATCAATAAATTCACAGTGATAATTTAAATCACTAGAAAAAACATATTTATTTTTGATGAGATACAGTGTAAGATAAAACCACTATACTTACTTCTCGATGCATGATGATATTGTATCCCATAGCGGCTTTACATTGCCATCCGTTTTTACTTTTCCGTTTTCTGTCACGCACACACATTTCATACTCGACATGAATGATGAAGTTTCTAGAACAAGATCTTCAAAACTATCTTTTTATTAGAGCCAGGTAAAAAATAACTGCAGCACATAAACTACCGTCTGATTTTTCATTTGAACTAAAATTAATCACACACACTGTCTAATTGAACGAATATTTTTAACTTTTAAATTAGAAAAACGGGTCTATAAAATACTATCTCTTATCGAGGGAAGAGAAAACATCGAAGAAACGTCAGCTTATCTCCGTATTAAAATTCAGCACTAAATACAGAAACAGGAGTTTGTTACCTGTTGATATGTCTGACTGATGCTTCTTCTTTCTTACATTTTCAAGTGCATCCTTTTCAAGTGGTCTTTTAAACATTACTTTAGCAAGCCAAAATTGCCTGATAAAACGTGAAAACAGATATTCATTAGTTTATACATTTGATTTAAATTTATTTATTTTACTAGTTTTTTTAAGTTGTTTGTATGTTGTTTACTATATTTTCATTTCCATTTCAATCAGTTATTTGTTGTTGACACTTCTGTCATCCGTAAAAAAACAAGGTTGTCTTCTTTTAGTCGAAAATAAGGATCCAGAATATATCGAGTCGAAGCATACTTTTCCATTGGTAAATATTGTACAAAACGGAAAGAATGAAAACGATGTCGCACACGCATATTTTTATCGTTCAGAGATCTGGGAACAAAGTGAAAAAAACTAATCGAATTTTACACAATTTGTTTCAGATTTTCATCTAGTTCACGAATAAGTTCATTTTGAATAAAAAACCTTTGAGAATTAAAATTTACTTTTTTTTCTTAATTCCACTGCGAACTATACTATATAGAAAACGAAAAGGACATATCTTTTCTCTTTTCCATGCGCAGCATGACCCTATAATGTCATGTGCTTGTATAAAAAATTTATCCAGTCTTTTGAATATTTTGAGATCAGCATAAGGTAGCCCCTAAAACATATACTGAAAATTTCCGTATACGCTCAGAATTTTGAGTTCTACCCGAATCTCAGCGCTTCACAAGGCAGAAACGTGTTCTCGAGGAGATATGCGTTTTACTGAAATTTTGACAAAATTCGTTCGATAGAGCGCACGAAACTTCGTATATCCATGAAATTTTCAAATTTTGACTGATAAATCTGAAAAAGCCTGCTGCTTCCAGACTTCGTTAAGTTTCCTATTAACACATATTGTAAAGCTTTACAAGGCGCATCGACTGATGTATTACATTAGGCGAAATATTGGATAGTTACGGAGAAATTTTGATTTTACAGTAATACTGTTGGTGCTAAGTCGTTGCTTGTTTTCGAGTAGATTCTATCGGATAGGTTCGACTGAAAGCGCTCAGAAGGGTCAAAATCGGCGAATATGGTGATCGAATATGATTCTGATGAGTTTTGTACCGATTGGAGTGGTTAATGTTAGCGGGCCGATTTCAAGTCTTATGCGGACTGACAAAGTTTTCATTTTTTTCGCCTTTCGTATAATTTACTTAGTGTTCTTGATTGAAGTCCTAAAATTAAAGTTTAGGTATGATTTTGTAAATTGAAGAACTCGATTATTATCAAACATAAAATCTGCTTTCATCCAACCAAACATTTGAATAGCAAATACAACAAAACTCAATTTACTTGAAAGAAGCAAAACTAAAGTTGAAGAGTTCAATTATTCCTTATGAGAAATGGGATCAGTTTGTCATATCATAGTATTTTTCCCCTCGGCGACCGAAAGTACGGTTATCAGATAAGAATCTTATAGAAATCTTATGAAAATCTTATATGCTCCAGCAGAGTGAAATGCATAATATAATTATAAGATTCTTATCATTCTCAATATGAGGATTGAATAAGGTTTCGGTAAGATTTTAGTTTTATAATTTTCTTATAAGATTCTTATAATCTTATAGTGCCTTATAAAAAATGTTCAAAATTTCCAAGTTCAAAACTTTACCCTCGTCCCTTCAGGCAACAAAAAAAAGTTTTTTTTGTTTTTGACCATAAGAATCGTATAAATTTGTATAGGAATGTTTTAAGTTTCTTACATAAGAATCTTATAAGCACAGTATGCATTTCTATTCTGTTATTTCACTTGTTGGCTCTAAATCATAATAACGTCTTATGCAGTTTTGGACATTATCAGGATACGTTTGATTCGATATTAGCCACGGATGCATATTTGTTAATTGCAAAAGTACCGTATCCAACAAACGACTATCTGCAGTATCGAGTCGTATATGATATAAATCCTCCAGATCATTGACAGGTTCAAAATGGAATTGATTAACTAAGAAGTTACCAACAGCTCGTTTCATTTGATCAACGTTTTGAAATAGAACTTGATTGTTGTTCTATATTCCAATCCTAAACATAGGATAAAATAACATTACACAAGACGAAAAACACAATGGTACAATATTAGAATTTTTCTGTTTTATGGAATGTCAGCAGTGCGTCTGAAATGATGTACAGTTTGCAACAGATCAGTTTCTAACCGCTTTAGGATACGTTAACGCAACGAACTAATCTTGCTCGTGTTTTTTATCCAAAAACTTCGGATTACCTATGTCATTGTAACTGAAATAAATAAAATTTAAAAATCTTTAAAGCTTGCCTGCGCGATCATCTCTATTACCAAATGTAAATGTTTATTGTTCTGTTGTATGTTCTAAACGGTTCTTCTAACTTTACTTCCTGTTTATTGTACCTTGTCTTTTTTTGTGCGTTCATATTTGGAAAGATTTTTGGGAGCAGTATTTACAAGTCGGGGGCTTTTTCTGTTCCTTGCTTTAATTTAAGCTAAATAAAAATGAATGAAATGAAAAATGATATTTCATGTAAATCCAGAAGCAAAGTCAAATAGAGAAATTAAAGAAGAGCCTGAACTGCGTTCATCCCATTATGAAAAAATACAATTTTGAAAATGAAAGAATAAGATGCTGTATTTTCTGACTGGTGTCAAATTGTTAATCAGTCATTTTTCTTTATCACCGTTAGGTCATCATTCCGGTTTGAAGCAGCTACTTTTTCTCTTCGAAGACCTTTATGCATTAAGACTTACCACGCAACTAGTCGGACGAATGTATCATTCAGTGATGCTCCAGCTTTCGCATCAAATATTGAACTGTGCGAGTCATCATTAAAATCAGTCGCTACAACCTCTTCACCCGTATAGCCCAAAATATCGGACCACTAGCAGCTTCTTTAATTGAGTTACATATTTCATCATACTTGGTCTAAACAAACAAATATTTATAATTGACTTTCACATTTACGCTCAACTAGCTTGTCGAAGTTTATCTTATACTTTTAACTCGATTGTGCGGATGATACTATAAAACTTAGAAAATCAACTAATCGTTGCAATTCTGTTTACAATTAGAAAGTACTCAACCTCCTCAAATCGGTAAAATGCACCTGAACTTGAAATAAGTCTTGAAAGTATTCACATCTCACAAGCTACTGTCTTCTGAGTTTATCGATGTCCTACGGCGAGACGTGAGTTTTTTCCAACAACTTATAACTACTTTGAGAAACTAGATCATCTTTTGTTAAATTCATCTTCTCAGTCTATTGATCAGTTAATTTTAGCTGGCGATTTTAACAGTGATCATAGGGACAATCCTTTTAACCTCCGCCTTCTGTTAGATACTGCTACACTTTTCGAGTTATGCGATTCTATTCATCTACCAACTACTATTTACAACACGAAGATTGACTTTGTATTCCATCCTTCAGGGTGGTTTTTACCAACAGCTCTCTATGATCCTCCCGCTTGACAGATCTCCTAATTTCTTACTATCCGTCATGTTTCCGTTTGTTCTCATCCCTTCCAAACGCATTCGTAAAACGTTTCGTAACTTCTCAAAATGTAATTGGAACCTTCTTACGAGACGTATAGAGGACATTTCGGATGACTTTTTCTTAGAAGAAGCCGTTGATAATTTAGCATGCATGTGGCATGAGTATATAAACAAGTGTATTGATGAGTGTGTCCCGCTATCCTAGTTATGTTCCCTGTGTACTAAAAAGCGCATAAAAATCGGCAATTAATCGTGAAAAATCATATGATTAATCGTGCGCTTAATCGCGATTAATTGACGATTTTTTTCTAGATACCAGGTTCGAACCCATCTTAGGAAATACATATTTTTTTCTGTTTTTTCATTGTTTATTACGTATAATGACATGTGCGTCACGCAGCAATGGTCTTAGCACCAGCTGGCGTCGAAGTCTTGCCGATGAGTCAGCTTTAAACATTGCCCACATACCAGCCGTTCAGTGGACTTCTCGGTTTAAAGCTCTGAGGAACAATAGAAACGACTCTTGACAACTCCGTTGTATTCTAAAATAAAAGATGATCTGAATATAAGTGTATTTTTTGCTGAGATCGTGCTTCTTATATACAAACTTTATTGGAAAAGAAAGCGGTGAATAACAACAACCATTTAATCACTTAAAATCAACAATTAATCGCAATTAATTGATGATTTTCGTGATTAATCGCGATGGTTGATAAAGTCATCGATTAATCGCGATGGTTGATAAAGTCATCGATTAATCGCGATGCACGAAAAAATTATCACTTAATCACGATTAAATGACCATTTTTTCCCGAATCGCGATTGAGCGTCGATTTTTTCAACCATCGCGATTAATCTACAAAAATGAAGCGATTTTCAGCACATGGGTCGCGTTTTATTTTTGCCGCGGCCGCGAAGTTTGCGCGTTCCGCGAAAAATGGCGGTCGCGTAGCGAAAATGCTCGTGTGGCGCGTTCGCGGTTCAGATTGTCGCGGTCGTGATTTAAAACAAATCGCGTCATGTTCAGATCAGATCGTATCGCGTTCCTGGCTTGAATCGCGTCGCGTTTGCGATTCGGTTATCGCAAAATCGACTTTTTATACGCTGAACAGAATCGGTCCAAATTTTTTTTCTGAATAGCTTATTGAATGAATGTACGGAATTTTATTCAAATCATTTTTCGCATTTTGGCGCGAATAGTG